TTTTTTTTCATGTTTGATGTACTTTAAAGGTACCATTTACCCTTTTATTCTACTTTCATATGAGGGAAATATTATTTTAAAGTAAATTTGTAAAGAATTTGATGTTTGAATTGCATGTTTAATTATATAATAATTGGTTTCTGCCTTACATGTCTGAGGAGCTTTATTTTGATGAATCACAATTAATTTATAGAAGAATACAATAAAACCTATTTGATTTGATATCAGCTCTTAATTCCTGTAAAACTCTTACGGAGAATTTAATATCACAAGATAATAATCAACTATTATATCAGACATTCTTACATTTTGGACACCCTGTATCGTTACAGTGTAGCTAAAACTAATTACGCAATATACCCAATATCCAACTGCCACTGCAGAAAATCTGAGAAATTTTTGATTTAGCAAGCATACCGTGGTAAAACAAATTAAATTTTGATTTAAAGTCTTTTTTCTGATCGTAAAAAAATAAATCATTTTTTTTGTACCAAAATAATTCTCCGAAGAAAGTTTCTACTTTCGTAAAATTATATCTTCAGAGAAGGCTTCTTTTAAAAGATATAAATATATTAAATTTTGAAAGATAATTTTTGTTGTTTCATTAAAAAAAAATTATAATAAAAAAAATCAAATAAATACAAAATATAGGAAATGCAAAGCTCACACATGAGAGAGGCTTTGGAAGCAAATCGCACGATGGAATTCAAACTAACTTTTGGTGGTCCAAAATCTCGGACTCTGGTCAGCTAGGTTAAGGACTTTCGTACTTACATCAGGAGTGCGTTAAAAAGCGTAGCGGCTGCGTAGCCTCTACGTTAAGCTTCAATCTTGCATGATTTCTAGCCTAGAGAAAGCTAGCCTGTAAATTTGATGCTAAGTACCAAATCCAAGATGGCCAACTTAGTAACCACCTCGCAGAACACAAGATTTTTACAAAAAGGAAATTTTTTGTGCATCCTAGAGAATGAAATGTAAATAACATATATATTTCTCTTGAAATAAACTTTTTGTGTTCCAAATCTAATTTTTTACTGATAGTTTTATCCGAAAATGAACTCTGTGTGTGTGTGTGTGTGTGAGAGAGAGAGAGAGAGAGGATGTGTGAGTGCGTGTTTGTGAGGATGTGTGTGTATGAATGTTAAAACTCAAAAACAGAGGAGAGTAAAAGAAATTTGAAGAAAAGTTATTAGAATAGTTTTTGTCGAAGCAAAGAAAATGCAAGAACACAGGAAAAAATGTAAAGTACAATTATGTTATGGAATTTCAATATGCTCTTTCGCTAAATTTCATTTGTGATTAATTTAAGATTTTTATGCTCCCTTCAAGAAAGTCGTGTAAATTCACTGGAATTTGTTTGCCTATGCATTGAAACAAATCGTGCTTACTTTTAAGCACACCTATATGTTGTCTTTATAAGACGACCTATAGAAATTGAGATTTTTTTGTGGTTAAAATTTATCTCACCTCCACAAATTTATTTACTCAATGACATTTATACAATGAATACAGTTCATATGATATCGTACTTAGATCCACACTATGTACTCTTACACCACGTGACGTAATCTTAATAAACAAATAGATGTGCGTATGTGCATGATAAAAAGAATTCCAAATACATCTGTTGTAGAAATCCATGATGTGATACAGATTTGGTGAAATCTTTCAAAGTCGAAATAACTGAATTTATTAATGAAATTGAGATCATCAAAAAGCTCAGATAATGTTTTCTGTCGTTGTATTATTATTATTACCTGTGTGGTTGTTTCATTTCCTAAATTTTTTCGTCATAATATTGGCAAGCAAATCACCATGATAAGCAAAAATTTTCCAAGATGATGAGAACCATATTTTTTCTCAATGAATATGGACATTATTGTGAAAAAGGCTGTTGTCCATTGTTCATCAAACTGAGAATGTGATTTATTGTTTTACTTGAAAACCTCACTAAATTTTGACCAATTTTAATTTAGACTGTGCTGTATGTTGGTTGGGAAGAAAATATTAGAAATCTAAAGATTGATCATCTTCGCTAGCCAAAGGCTTTCGATTTAAAATTTCGGATCAGAAACCCTTGGTAAGCGAAGATGCAAACTGGTATGCTCATATTTTCTGTTTAAGCCATCCTTTCCCCCTAGGGGAATAGTCATTCACTGATAATGTAGGGGCTAGGTCTTGCGAGAGTATTCCTCTGACTCACCTGAATTCCACCGCTGCAATGAAAAGGAAAAGTCAGTAAAACCTGTATTTGCACATGAAGTGGTCACAGTTATGTTGAGCTGTGCGAAGGCTTTAAATATATATATAAAAAAAAAAATCATACTATTTTTTCTGACTGTGTTTTGATCTCAATTTGTAAACTTTTATATAAGTACAGCCAATTCGCAAAGAAAGTTTAATCAGGTAATATAAAAAAGCATTTTTGTAAGTTCCCATGACTTTGCTCATCACGTGATAACCACATAACTTCTTAAAAGTGCACAAAAATTGCTATGGCAGTGATGAATACAATTATTGGAAACTTTTTGTTACATAAATCAATTTATCGTATTTTTTTGTATATCAAAATTGCTATTGCAAGTCGAATTTTACTTGTATGTCAAAAATTTAATGAGAACTCCAAATTAGGAACGTGCATTGGGGATTTTCACTCTACATACCTATTTATATAAAATTGCCTCAATGACATACAATCCCTCGGATTAAGTTAAAGAACAAACCTCTCGTATATATACATACAGAGAATTTTTAATTTATCCTAATTAATCATTTTTGCCGGTCAAATGTATATACGAATCATAAATTCTAACTTTATCTTTGGGGGTATGACTGGAAGCATTTCACATCGTATCTTTTTATCATTGCTTAAATACACTGCATATCAGGTAGAATAAATGAATCATGATATTATTACAAATGCTCATCATCAAACAGAACAATAGTGCTTAAAACATCAACCCACACACCTGAATACAACATTAAAGCAGAACACGACTCGTAAATAGGCACGCGCCATATTAGTTTTCCTATCTCCGGTATTAGCAGTGAGGTATACCCTTCGCATTCGTTACACCAGATTTATTTCTTGTCACGAGTACTTGTGTGGAAAGGACGACACGTGTTCATGTTGGTTATTTTTTTTTCTTGACATCTAATTGCAGTATACGTGTATTTTTATTTGACCTGTGCAACTGATTTGAGTTTCTTTGATAACTTTCTCTTCTGCTTTGGATGAAGTATACAGTTACCTTTGTCGCTACCGCGAGTTTTGTAAAAGCTATGTAGAATGCGTCCGTCCACACAGTAAAAACTGATTACACTGAACTGTGACCAAGTGAACGGCTTATACAGAGACCGTGCAGATAATGGAAATTAAAGAGTAATATAACGGACAAACATTGCCCAAAGATAAAGTTAGAAATTATGATTTGGACTTGCAATTACCCCCCCCCCCCCCCCAATCCAAAATGAAATGAAACTATACAATACATACACAAAACAGCACAGTCACAAATACAAAAAAAAATTCTTCATATATATGCATAATCTTAAAAATTTACAAGGGATCTGTGTTACGTTGGATGGTACTTATCCCCCCTTTCGATCCTCTACTTAACAAAATAAGTAGGTTTGTTTGTTTGTTTGTTTGTTGTTTAACGTCCCTCTCGAGAATTTTCCACTCATATGGAGACGCCACCACTTGCCGGTGGAGAGCTACAAATTTTGACCTATACTCGGTACTTACGGCCATTGAGCAGTGAGAGATCTTTTTCGTGCCAACACCTACTGCGACACGGGACCTCGGTTTATACGGTTTCATCCGAAGGACCGGTCTCCACGTCCCACAGAGGGATTCGAACCAGCGACGTAAGGATCAACTCCTTACTTCGCGACTCTAGAGCAGACGCTCTAACCACTGCGCCACACGGGCGACTAAAATAAGTCGGTATTGTGGGGTTCGTTGTTGAACTGTTTGATTAACCAGGCGAAAAAGATCACTAAGCTTTTATTTTAAAAATCCGATTTTCAAGATGGACATACACGTAGTTATTAATATTGTCATGACTGAATGTGCATGAAAATGTACGTGCATCATGCGGAAACGTCCACAATATCCCAAGTATTCATATTACGAATTTTAGAAGTATCAAAATAAATGCAGTGTTGTTAGCCTATAGCAAATATAAATAAACATATTTCTGAACTAAATTGTATATTGTGTAACTATATATATTAATATTCTAGATTTAGATATATTATTTTTTAAATAAATATTACATGAAATATTGCCATTTTACGCTAAATTTAAAATTGAAGATATTTATGTAAATATTTTATTCTAAAGAATCAAAACTGAATTAAGTGTGTTTATTTAATTGGATAAATCACAGTTGTGAATATCAGTTCATAAATATGTGTTTTTATGCTGTTGAATTTAGAACCGGTTTCATGATCAAAATTCCACGACCCGGCTCACTTTTCAACGGACTAGGGTCTAAATTCAACACCTTTGGTCTCATTATTCAACGTTGAAAAATGACCCCCCGGGTCAATTTTTAACCCGGGTCAAAATTCAACCTTACACCGGCACTAGAAGTGAAATCACGGGTCTTTTGGGTGAGACCTTAAAATCCCAGGTCCCGTGTCATAGTAGGCGTTGGCACGATAAAGATCTCTCACTGCTCAATAGCCCTGATTGTCGAGGTCTAAATTTGAAGCCCTTCACCGGAATATGGTAACTTCTCTATATGAGTGAAAAATTTTCGAATGAGACAACAATTTACAATCAATCAAATAATCAATAGCAATATAGGTCGAGTTGATACTTATGTACTCAATGTTTCACTACGTTTAAGATATTGAACTTTGGTGTGTAATCAGGAATAATTGGAGAGTTCAAAATTCAAGAACATATCAATTATAGTTAAGTAATATTTCCATATACAATAATTAATAAACTGATTACACGATAGAAATACTGTGAAAAATTTGTCCATTTAAATTGTAGATTGCAAATCTTTCTTTATCACTTTTCCAAGTCTTTCCCAAAACACCGACTGTCCAGGAGTACCTTCAGGGTATTCAATATAATATCCCTTTTTAATGAAATCACGAGCTTTCTGTGGGTATTTTGACTTGCATACATCTGGCATCAGAATTAAAAACACAAAATTTAATGTTTTTCTCGCTTGAACTCCTTCCATCCTGGCCATATTTAACTCGTAGTCCTACCAGTCAGATTCCAGAAAATTCCTGGAGACAACACAAATTGTTCTTTTACTTCTACTTATGTAATCCATTATATTACTTGCGTGATCGCCGCATGGTACCATGTCTCTGTGTAGTATTGCCAGTCTGATACTATTTTCACACTTTCCTTCAAGGTTGGGTATCAGTTCGTTCTTAACAAATGCTAAATCTTTAACGGAGTACGAAATGTAAGCATCATATTCGAAATCTCCTCCACTAGAACTTGATCTTAGTGGACGATACCCTCTTAGCTTTTTGCTTGCCATGTACCGTATGTAACGTATTCTCCAACGGTTTCTATAAATCAAGTAACATATAATAATAGTTAACGCCAAAGTACACCCAGTCGAACCACAAACGTACCAGATTATGTACGATTTGCAATTTTCATTCAATATGCCAACATATTCCTGAAGATTTTGAACACGTAGTAAGTCATCCAAGCACATATAGCTGTAGAAATCTTTGAAGTGGGAAGAAAATGTAACGATCCAATTTAGAAAGTCAATGTTTTCACAAGTGCATGAAAGACGATTGTTTGTTAAATCCACAGTCAGATTTCCAGTCTCGAATAGGGTATAAAGATTTGCCATATCAGCGGAACTTAGTTTAGCTAGGCGATTATCTGAAAGATCTAGAAATGATAGATTTCTAAAATGATCAATCTTTACATCCCATTTATAAAGGCGGTTTCCCTCAAGTGATAAGTTTATAATATTGCTGACATTTTTGAATATCTGGGCTGGCAGATGTTCAATTCCATTGTTTGATAGATCTAAAAACTTAAGATCGTGTTGCTTTCTGAATATCAAACCTTGAGAATCCAAAGATAAACTTTTTGCAAGGCTATTGCCTCTAAATTTTAATGATTTAACATGAGAGAAGTGAGATAGAAAATCTGTAGAAATGTTATAGCAAAAGTTTTGAGACAAATCAATTTCTTTAATGGATTCAAGACCGTAAATTGGCCCAGTCCACTGATACCAAATATTGTTCTGAAAATGAATCTTTCTAAGGGAGGATCCGTTTAACCTGAATTCGCCTAGATTTCCAAACAAACGGCTTGATGACCAGTCCAGTACCTCAAGTTTTGGGGGTAAAAAGAAAGATATGACTGATCGAGGTCTTTTCTGATTTTCGTCCTTATTTGTATCTACATGATTTTGGCCCAAAGAAAATGTGGTTAATTCCTGCTCTTTTCTTGGAGAGGAGCAGAAAATCGTGTCATCATTTTCGTAACAATTCTGAAATAGTTTTTCAATTAAACTTCGTTACTTTAATTGCAAACTCATATTCAGTTCCTTCAACTCTGTTAGCAAGCTATATTCGAATGAGTACATTCCTAATGATAACCTATTATTTGCTAAAGACAATTTATGGAGACTTTGAGGGAGGCCACTTAATACACCTCGATTTCCTGCCAAACTTAAATCTTCTAAATAAGTGTTCGAGAGATATGCCAGATGATTCTGACGTAGACGAGTCCCAGGTCCCATGTAACATCTTATATTGTCCAAATGAAGTTTTTTTTATTTTGGTATTCTCTAGATTAAATGTTACATTTCGTAAACTTTCAAAACCTAGTTCTTTGTTATGCGATAGGTACAGTTCTACCAAATTTTCAAGAATTCCAAAAGTCCCATGTTCAATGTATTTAATCATACACGCAGAAAGATCTAAAACTTGCAGAAACTTAAAGTATTGAAAGGTTGATTTTCCAATATGCTTTATGTAGCAGAACCCTTTTATTCCAGAAAGATCCAAAGTATGCAACTTCCTTAACTGGGAAAATTGTTTTCCAAAAATTGTTCCTCTGGGAGAATCAATGCGAAGAACTTCTAGTTCTCTCAATTCTGCAAAAACTGTATCATTAATACACCCCTCATCTGAGTTGTTCTTTAAATTCAACTGACGCAACGACACCAAGGATGAAAATAAGCTCTCAAAATAATTTGAATTTGAAAGCTTAATGTGATTCCTTTCCAAATTAAGAAGCCGCAAGTTAGCCAGACGATGGAATGGTTTTTGACTGAAATTGGTGATGTTATTTCCTGAGAGGTCCAATTCCACTATTTTACTTGGTTCTATGTGTATTATTTCGGCTGTCATGTTATTTGAAGCATTACCATTTTCACATAATTTAGGTATGACTTGTAATCCACGGTGAGAACAATCAACCTTCACAAATTCATTTTCGAAACAATATGTACATCTTAAATTTGTCGCTGTATTATAAATAAAAATTGCCCCTCCTTCAAAGTTTATGTATACGATCAATACACAAAAAACCACAATGTGCTTCTCGGACATGAAGTCTTGCGCCATGACACTAGAATTAATAAAATATCATAAAGGAATCATACAGCTTTAACTCCAGAACACTGTCACTAGTTTTGTATAGCAATATTACAACGACAAATCAGCATTTAATGGCGTTATAGACTCAGTTGAAATTAATTATGATGATGAGAAATCAAATGGGATTAGTTTAGAGACGGAAACAAATGGTTTTGATGATCCAAACAAATTAAGAAAACCATCGACTTGCTTTTTATTCTCAAATTAAATACATTTGATGAAAGACAGGATCTTTAAATATCAATTATAACTTATTAATCTTTCGTTGAAAGAAATCAACAAATAAGTACCAATAAAGTGATAGATGACAAAAATAAATGACACATGTGAAAACTTTAGAGTTTCTTGGAGTTGTTAGGGACTTGCTATATTGTAGGGAAAAAGTTGATGATAGCAAACAGTGATGAATCTCAGAAATCCTGTACAATTCTTGAACAGGGCAAAAACAGGATCCCTTGAAAACAAAAGATCTAAAGGTGGGATCAGATGCCTCAGAGGAATAAGCTTCCCCTGTCAATCGGTCTCACCCGCGTGAGCCCTCCGTATTGATCAGGTGAACGGAGTAGTCCGTAGTTAAAATTGTGTAAAGCAATGGTCTAACAACTGATAAAAAACATCAGAGGAATATATACATATATTTCTTTAAAAAGATGCCTAATGATTTGTGAGACACTGTTTAATTTAATCAGTTTCAAGTGTATAATACATGTATATATTTGTACATGTATTTTCATGCAGAGGTTGCATGATGTCATTTGGGTCCATTTCACATCTTTATAGCGTAGTTATGGTGTCACAAGTTTTGTGTAGTATATACTTGTGCCTCTTTATTATGTTTCTATGATAGCCAATAGAATTCATATTTAATTAAAGATGCGGGTATTTTTATAATTACCAAACGATCCACTTTCAACAGTGAATGTTGTATATTGTTACATAGAGACCGTTCCTTGAGTTGGACTGGATACAATCTAATTAAAATTAGATGTTCCGAATCCGCTATCGCTTCTCAAACATCTAACAACATCCCATTCGGGGTCACGTCAGAGAGACCTTTCGATTATGAATTGAGAAGCGATAGCGGATTCGGAACATCTAATTTTAATTAGATTGAAGTTTGAGAAGCGATAGCGGATTCGGAACATCTAATTTTAATTAGATTGGACTGGATACTGGATCGGACAATAAGAATGTATGACCGAAATTAATCATGCTCAGACGCAAATTACTGAGGGCATGGAAAGTTTGACGTGTCAAAAATTTGGGGGTTTTGTACATGATTGTCACAGAAATAATTTAACTATTAGATATAATTAATTGAAATAAAGTTTACTGTCATTACGTATGTCATTTTCAATTCATTCATACGATGTGAATAAAAGTAATATTTTTGGACAGATTAAAATCGCTATATAATGTTGGAACAAAACAGTTTGCCCATTTAAGCCAAATAAAACGAAGAGCCTATTGAATAATATATTTTTTAAAAAAACACTTCATAAAAATGTTTGAAGAATCGATTATTATTTGAATTCAGTGAAAAAAACCTAAGAACAAGTCTTTTTACTGAACAAATTCAGACCGATCGGTGATGGGTTGAACCACTGTGTCATTTTCTATGTCACGGTTAAGTTTGCATTTTTTAATCTCCAGCTTAAGGATCGATTCTGATCTGATTTCTGATTAGATAAAATATTAAGTATACTAGTGCGCGCATTAACGTCTTTTATATTACTAGTATATGTTAGGATTTTAAAATTTATCTTTTCTTTCTTCTTCTTCTTATTATTATATGCAATTTTTTCTCAGAAATCGTTAATAACTTATTTAGTCCACACTTGGAACAATCAAAGTCCTAAAAGATTTTCTGAACAAAACAAAGTTTTTAGAATATACTAAATAAATATGATTTTCTAAACAAATTTATATTTTGTTAACTTTCGTACGTTTTCAATCTATAACAAAACTGAGTTTTAAAAAATCATTTCTTTCTCTCTATTAAACAGTCATTTTTTGTATCATTTTTTGTATCTTCATTTGTGACTTCATCACCATTATTATCTATGAATAAGAAAAAAAATCATTATTCCTTAAAAAGAATTTAAGAACATTAGAGGAACGATCCTGCGTTATTCGTTCTGTTTACAGGTTCCACTGTGTATTTAATGTATAAATAATTTAACGAATTTCTTGTAAATCATTTCAAATATAGCTCGTACATGTAAGTTAAGCAGAAAAAACACAAGCCTGACAAATTAAAAATGTATAGTTATATTTTGTCGGTCTCTAGCACGAAAAAAGAGGGGTTTTAAGTGTCAGTTAATCATAAAACATAGTACACCTCGAACACACGCTGGTATATTCATACTATTCGCACGCTTGATAGACGCTCAGCCTTCTCATTCTAATAGTACAATGACCTACATAGCCGTAATGGTGAAGCCGGGATTTCACAATGAAATATACAATTTTGTTTAATTGATATAATGTATATATTGAAAGTCTCCCAAAAAATCTTTTTTTATGAATGAATTGAATATATTTTATTGACAAAGAGTCAAAAGGATTAGACACAAGTTCAAAAACTTAAATAGTCTTCTCCTAATACAACATTTTGTAAAATTGCCAAAATAAAATACATGTATATATATTGTCTACTTCATATACATAGTAATAGAAGGAAAATAAGATCTTTAAATGTACATGCAAATATAGATTTACTATGGTAAAAAATTAAGGTTTTTATTTATTTATTTTTTTTTTTTTTTTTTTTTTTTTTTTTGAAAAACGACCACATTCATTTAGAAAAGTCTGAATAATCTTAAAAAGTTCAGCATTTTGTTCAATAGTAAGAGAATCATCACCCCATGTCATTAAATGTACATCTATATTAAACATATAAATTATTAAATGACAGTAGCTTATTCATTTAGGAACTCCTTGCATTTGCATAATTTTTACAAGCAAAAGACAGATGGTATGCATCCTCAAGTAGTCCACATGAACAATTTGGACTAGTTATTAAGTTACATGGATATAAGTCAGAGATTAAAATACAATGGTGTCTTAATCTTGTATGAATTATGTTCAAAAACTTTTTTCCGTATAAAAAATATTTCTGAGGTTTTACAATATTGTTGTGCAGACAGTTCTTAAAAATTTTAATAGAAGTTGTCTCCCTTGCTTTAAGACAAAAGGAATTCCACTTTCTGAAAGTATCAGGAATAAATTTATTCAATAATTCTAATCTGTATTTTGGCAAAGAATAGTTTAAGGAATTCCTAGTAGTATATCCTGAAATATTGCCTCTTGTGTCAGGTACTAAATTTTGTATATGGTACTAAATTATTGTGCATTTTATACATTGTTATAAGCTTATTATGAATATCAATACAGGCTATGCTTGAAGACATTAGCTATAATATAACAATTTTCTGATTTGAAAAGGTAAAATTCTGCTTTTTAAAAGGGACGAGAGAGCAGTGTTATGAAGATTCATTCTTTACATGGTACACTATGAATATTTTTGGAAATTACTCCCTCAAGCGCTTGTCTGCAATTGCTGAAATTGACATGATTGTACATGTGAATTTTCGTAGATTTTGAAAAAAGATCATTTCATACTTGTTTGTTTCAAATTGTATGCATCCAGTCTGACTTAAAATGGTTTAGAAAAATAAAAATGCAATGTAATGAATTTTTTTCAAGGCAATTCAAAATGTATTTGCTATATTAAAAAATGAGGTGGAAGAGCTAATGTGGTTTTATGTTCCTAGAAAACTTAAATTTTCTGAATCAACATCTAGTGCAATCTAGCTTTAGTGACATGTACTTATTAGTGTTTCTTGCTTCCTACTTGAAATTTAGTAATGCCCAATCCTTGGATTTTAATTAGATGTTTTAGATCTTTTTTTTATTTGTTACCTTCAACATTAAAAGAATCCGATAAAGACCTACTTGTTTTCATCTGGACGTTGTATTCTATATGAATATTAATATGCAAAAATTAATTTTAGCATTTGTTGGGGAGTTTTTTTTAGAGAGCAGAAACGATTGCAATTTGCAATTTTTAATAAAATTACATTTCTCTTAGTCATAACAGTTGCCTTTTTGTGATTAGGGAACATACTTCAAATCTTAGCATCTTTTTTCTTGTAAGTCTGAAAAACACTCCTTGGGATATAAAAAGCCTTCATCTAATAGTTTTCTTTTCCTAAGGCACGCCGTATTTTCAATACATGTTTCTAGTAGACATGCATAAAATCTTTTAGAAATATGGTTCTGGGGAATATTGAGCTTAAAAATCCTGTATTTATCAAGTGATAAGTAAGCAATCTTGACAAATCGTTATTGAAAGGATAGGAGTAATGAACTTCGTGTATTTGTGAAAATTCTAAATCATTGTTAAAATATGGCTGTAATAATGTAATTATTGTGCTACAGCATTTGTTTATTTTCAATTATCCTTAATTTCTTTCTTTATTGACTTTCTACAGTTTCTTCAACTATTTTATTTCTCCTCATTTGTGATAGACTGCATTCTAATTTTTTTTTCTTTACAAAAAGCTAATATTTCATATCTATTGTAATCAATTCCTATCCATTTTTTAACCATTTTTAATGAATTTAATGATTTATCTTTAATTGAATTCCATAAAAATACATTTACATAAAAAGCTGGAATTTTAATGATGTAATCTAAATGACAGAGGTAAGCAACATGTCTTTTTGTATTTCTTTTCTCAAAGATTCCCAAAATACCCTATTCCCAAGGGGATCATCCGGGTACTCTATGAAACAACCTTTCTTGATGAAGTCACGTGCTTTCCTTGGATACTTAGACTGACAAACATCTGGCATAAGGATTAAATACACAAACTTCAACGTCTTCCTTGAACTGATGCCTTCCATTCTGGCCATGTTTAACTCGTAGTCCTGCCAGTCAGACACTAGATAGTCTTTGGAGACCACACACAGAGTTCGCTTACTTCGGCTGATATAGTCCATTATATTTGTGGCGTGGTCCCCACATGGTTCCATATCCCTCTGCATTATTGCTAGTCTTATATCGGACTGCTCTTCAATGTTGGGGATCATTTCGTTTTTCACAAAAGATAAATCTTTAATAGCATATGAAACATAAGCATCAAATTCGAAATCGCCACTGCAGCATGACTGAAGTCGATGATATCCACGAAGTTTTTTATTGGCAATATATTTTAGGTACCGTATTTTCCATCGGTTGCTATAAATTAGATAGCTAGTTGTTAAGCTGATTAATAAAGTGCAAGAAATGGAGCCAACGATGTACCATATTAGATAAGATTTACAATTTTTAATCAACATATCTAGAGATTGCTGAAGGGGAGATGAATCTTCCAAGCATGTGTAGTTATCAATGTCTTTAAAATGGGACTTATATGATGTCAACCATAATAAAAAATTGATGTTTTTGCAAGTGCAGGAAAGCCGGTTGTTTGCCAAGTCTACTGTTATATTTTGATTTCCTTTATTGAACAGATACTCAAGATGTTGTATGGCTGTTGATTCAAAGCTTGTCAGACGATTATCGGAAAGATCCAGAAAGGTTAAGTTCCACATATGGTCGATTTTGACATCCCACTTGTATAATCTGTTTCCACTTATTATCAGAATATTTATGTTTGAAGCGTTCGCAAATATATCGCTATGCAGATTATCAATACTATTGATTGATAAATCTAATACTTCCAAATATAACTGATTTTTAAATGTCTGTCCTGAGTAATCGAGAGATAAACTTTTGCCAAGATAGTTCCCTGACATGTTTAAGATTCTGATATTAGAGAAGTACGTCAAAAATTCTGTAGATATGTTGTTGCAAAAGTTCATCGAAAAATCTACTGTTGTGACGTTTTCAAATCCATAAAGAGGACCAATCCATTTGTACCAAATATTGTTCTGCATGTAGATGGATCTCAAAGACTTTGCCTTTATTCCAAACCGCAATAAACTTCCATATAAGCGACTTGATTCCCAATGCAGTACCTCAAGTTTAGGTGGGAAAATAAATGAAATTATCAAACCTGAGTTCTTTTCGAATCTTTCACTTTTTAAAAATGAATTTGAAACATATTCCGTAGAACAAATAAGCTTGTCTTGATTTTCGTTGCAGGATTGAAATATCTTAGATATGATGCTAGGCGGATTTAACTGGTGGCTAAGATCTATTTCTTTCAAACTAGTGAGTAAACTGTACTCAAATGAATACATCCCTGTTGAAAGTCTGTTATATGCTAATGAAAGTTTCTCCAGGGTTTTCGGTAAGCCTTTCAGAACACCCATTTCCATCCATTCCAGTCTATTTCCGGCCAAGTTTAAATCTTCAAGAGAGGTCTGTGTGAGTTCTGACAGGTGCTCTCGGCAAAGGGTTGTTCCCGGTCCCATGAAACACCGAATGTTGTCCAAATGTAGTCTTTCAATTTTGGTGTATTTCAGATTAAATGTTATGTTTTGTAATACTTGAAAACCTAGTTCTTGATTATAGGATAGATATAATTCCGTCAGATTTTGAAACAAGCTAAAAGTGCCCTTGTCGATATATTTGATCATACACGAAGAAAGGTCTAGAACCTTCAAATATAACAAATTCTCAAATGTTGTATTTTTAATGTGTCTTAAGTCACACTTTCCTGTTCTTCCAGAAAGATCAAGTGTATGCAATGACTTCAAAAATGCGAAAGAGTCTCCGAACTCATTTTCACTGGAAGCATCCATCCTGAGCACTTCTAAGCTTAGCAACTCTGCAAACACCATACTATTTACAAATCCATTGTACTTGAGATTCAGTTGACGCAACGATACCAAAGGCGAAAACAAGCTTTCGTTGAAACTTGAAAAATTAATTTTGTTGTTTTTTAAATTCAAAACTTGAAGGTTGAACAAGCAATGAAACGGGTCCTGCACGATACGATTAATAACATTGTTAGACAAATCAAGATTTACTATTTCACTTGGGGGAATGGTAAGATCGACCTCCGGAGTGTTGTTGTTACAAAAATCCGGAATGGAATGCATTTGGAGACCAGAACAGTTCACACTTAGTCCGTCTGTTTCCACTGTATACCTACACTTTGTTTGCTTATGAATAGCAACTACCTTGTCTATAGCGTTCAAACATAACATAAAAATAATTCCAGTGAGGGTTTCCATCTCCAAAAAAGAAGAATATGTGCGAGTATAGTTTACAGTTAATAAATCATCGTGTGAATATTACATGACTTTAATAGGCATTGAAACATGAAGGAAGTAGAGGAGGACTTTAATCAAACATATAAATCAAGATCTATAAGTGTTTAGTCAGTACGGTGTTGTATACAATTTCAGAAATACATGGACCTGTATTATGTTTATTGTTTGTTCTATTTACTTCCTTAATATAATTATCAAGTGAATCGTTAATACTCTAAACGAGTTCAAATTGTGGGAACACACAAAACGAGTGTGAGGCCCAGTGCAGTTGGTGACAAATTCCCGAAATAAAAGGTGTCAAATTAATTTTACATGTACATGTATGTTTATAAAGTTTGGCATTCATTAGAAATGACAATACAATGAATTTGGGAAGTGTTCACTTAAAAAAAAAGAAGAAACCGTTATCTATTCCAATAAAACATAGCATTTCAAAAAAAAAAACCTGATCTGGTCCGTCGCATGTTTCTCCTCTCCCCTTACAATATCGTGTAAATTATTGATTAAATTTTGTACAATTTGAAGTTATCATTTTTAATGATAATCGTCTTATTTTCTTACACTAAATGAAGGAAAGGAGTATTCTACTTAAGTATAGTAGTGTGGTCCCTTTTTACACCCTTGGTTTACCGGTTAAATATTAGCATACGGTATTTTGTTTGTTTTCATTGTGTATAACGAAGTATTTCTAATTAAAACATTGCGTATTTATAATGAATAATCAAACATATCCAAAAATACAAGCGTATTTTTAACACCTATCACACTAAAAAATGCCGGAACATTTTCCCCCGATCAGACTACGGTTTCTCTATTACATCGAAATGGGCGGAGACATTTAGATTAGATACTATAAAAAGAAGATCTTGGTATGATATTTTTTTTCAAAGACGAATAATATGTTCAAGATTCACAATCAACTACAAATACAATTTTCTATTAACAAAACTTTGGCAATAAAAGCTATAACAAGATGAACCAAACAAGTCCATGCTGATCGATATAAAACTGAGTACGTTTCAACTGAGAACTAGCACGTTTACTGGGGGCATTTACCCGTAACGATACAAATCCACGTGGCTTGTTATGATTCTAAACAGGTCATAAAGAGGTTAATCGCATGTAAATGAAGTCAGCGAAGAGATTCAAAATCGCAATACTTTTAATTAGAAAACATAGAGCACAAGGTTGTTCAACAAAGATATTTTCACTCAACCTTTACACATATAATATACACATTATATTTCAAACTCGACTCTGAACAAACCTGTGCTCGGTGTTTACGAAAGCTTTGAAGTGTGTACCTGTCGCTGATTTCTTTTGATATTCATGAAAATCAAAGGACCCTACCTTCAACGCGCAGCTTCGTATGCTGCCTATATCTATTGTTTGACATTTTTAGATGATGATTCAAATAATAAAGACATTAGTTAACAATAAAATTTAATTTTTAAAAATGTTAAAGAATGTTCGAAATTTGACGAGCAACCGGGGACCACAGATAAGCCTTATTGAGACTTGTTCTTTATAAGGAATGAATCTAACAGTTACCCAATTTATACGGTATAAAATGGCTTGGAACAGTTAACGCTTTTCATCAAGTACGTGCTTCGCAGTTTATCAGGCGTGAACTGCCACAACCCTTACTTCGTAAAGATTTTTGTAGATCATTTTTGGAGAAAATTAACTTTATTATGTACATTCGTTCGTAAAAAAAAAAAAATAATAATAATAATAAAAATCAATTAAAACAAACCGCTGTTGCTTCTATTTTATCTTATTGCAGCGTTTGAGGATCTTCTCAAAAAGTACTGCATCGGCTGATTAAGCCCGTAAAAGTTGTGTAAACTGCTAAAATAGAGGCTGTGGCCTAGAAATGATATACTGACTGATATTTTTTCCGTCCCTAGTTCTATTTTTGAGCATGTGTATTTGTGTGTGCATTGAAAAGGGGGAGGCAAGGGGGGAGCTAATTTTACCTTGCGAATGTGATCACGGGTCCTTGGGGTCAACTTTTTATTTTTGGCTTTCTTTGTAGATTAATTCCACTGGGATCTAGCTAGGTTGAGAAAGGGCCAGGTCCGGATCACGATGACTTATCTGGTTGAACCCTTGGATTCGCCCTGGATCCTCCGGTTTTGCTCTTTATGCAGAGTATTAATTTAATGTTTTAACGAATTTTAACTTCCACTTCTTTTTTATTTTTACTATCTTTTATTTTATTTTTTTTTTTAGATTTGAGAAAAGATAACTTTAAATCGTATAGCCCTGTAAACTGTTAGAAACCTATTTCTGCTGGAAAATATTTCCAAAAGATTTGGTGGAAGCCGGAAGTCGGAATAAAACTGTATGAATAATACCCCCTGCCCTAAGTCTTTGCAAGAGATGAATGGGTTTTTTTAATCTGAATCTACAAGCAAGTAAAGTGTTTACTATCCAAAAATATTCACTATATAGGCCTATTGACGATGTGAACAGTTTATACAGGTATATTAATATTATAGATTAATATTATAGAAGCGTTTTGATTTTGGTTTATTTTTTTTTTTAAATTAATTAATTAATTCATTTATTTACTCTGTTTTATTTTATTTTATATACTTTAATTTATTTTATCTATTGATTTTAAAATCAGTTTTCATTTTTTCCGGAAAGTTATGAACCAACCATGCAAGATTCTCATATGTAGAATTCCATTTCGAATTTCCTTGAGCTGTCGAGAGGAAAGGAGTGAGATGTGAATGGTGAGGAAGAAGAGATTAGATACGTATATCGAAATGTAGAGAAATTTACAAGTGAGTTTTCTTTGTATTACTTCCATTATCTGAATATTATTTTCAAGGAAGAACAAATATGATTGAAAATGTTCAATAAACAAGATGTCAGAAAAGAGGAAGAACTTCGTTGTGAGGGCTATAAACATTTTGTAGCATTAGATGATGTACACAAGTCTGGTTTGCCTGCGTGTTTGTGTTTAAATCACGAAAATCTCTCAGTGGTTAAGCTGAATAATCAGTGTTAACAAAGAACAAGAGATTATTGATTCTGTTACCAATACCCATGCAGCTGCTGCACTATTGATTTGTAAAATAACATGAAGAAGTTGTCAGGACTGACGATAATCATGGTGTAAATTAGCATTATTAGACAGCTGCTTACTTAGAGGTTACACAAATCAAGTTAAAATGTACTAAAACATGTTCATAATATGTAATATACCTTGACAATGTCCGGGGAAGTAGACTCTGTTAGATGCTACTATACACTACAGTATTAAATATTCTCACTAACCAATTTTGGAGTAGGCGATATAAATTCAAAGCAAACCTTTGAAATTAATCCTTTTGACGTCTTGTAAATCAGTACTGTATGTATATTTTGTACCCAAAAAGATAAATTAACCACTGAGCAAGACACACAATTTTATTTTGGTAGTTGAGCAAGACAATGAAAATCAAGTGCAGGGCCTGGTCACCCCCCCCCCCCCTTGGAATATATGACATACAAAATTCTGTATACCCAAAATTATATGGAATCTGGTGTAATCAGAAAGTTTACATACAGTTCTTCATCTCAAAAAAATCAGTCCAAGTCTCGTACAGAAATACCCAAACTGGGCAGGGAGATTCAGGAATTATTTTGCTTCAGCAATGTTTTGACGTAAATCTCAAACAAAATGCTAGTATGATTGACACCTGCAAAAGTATACAAAGTCCACAACCCCCCCCCCCCCCTTCAGAATTTTCAAATAATGTTCAAGTCATACTTTGACTGTTGATTTGAAATGGTTTTCAGTCATCTATTAGAACATTTTTACAAAAAGTTTGGACTTTGGAAATTTTTTTTTGGGGGGGGGGGGGGTAGAGAAGTCAGAATGCCTCTTGAATTGGTGATAAATATTGAATCTATCAGTGACAGCTCTAGAGTTTAATTTTTTGATGTGAAGTGATCTTGAATTTGTAGAATATCACCAGGTAGTTATCTGTCAAACAAAACTTCACAAAAATGAATCAAATGTCTTAATAGGACATTCACAAGAAATATCCATTGGCAAACAAAGCAGAACATGTCCCAAGCAGAACATGCTCTAAGGAAATACTAAACAATAGTACTGTATACAAACCTTATTAAAAGAAAATTAAACAGGTACATCTTTAATCTCCTTAGTGGTATTTCATAGATGTACACGTCATGTATATAAACACAGAGAGAAAACAATACTCTCTTCTGATCATCTAATGTAAATATTTAAAGGCCATGATTATCAACTTACTGGTACTTGTAAACATTTGCATCTGCTTAATAGGTATCTGCAGAAAAAAAAAATATTGCAAATACACTGTAGTATTTATTAAATATTTCTAATGTTTCACAAGCTACTGAATCTGATTGTCACAAAGTACAGGTACATGTGTAACTGTAACAAAGCACAGGGGCAGAAGGTGAGTATGTAATATAGGCCACTTGTATTTATTAGTCAGTTTAATTTTAGTGTAAAATATAGTGGTCCAAACAGATATCTAAATTTCTCTCCCATACAAGGGAAGAAACATTTGAAGGATTGTTTTAAAATTTTAGAATAGTAGAATGCTACATACACTCACTGCATGCCTAATACTGTATTTTAGAGGTAAGTAAAAATGTGATGCATATTTTAGTTTCTAAATCTGAAGTGAAGAGAGTGTAATGCATAATTAAATAAGAAATATTTCTCGCTGTTTAAAAAATAAGCATGAGGTCCATGGGCCACAATGCTCACCTGAGTCATTGTAGCCCTGTTCTTCTTCTTCAGGAGATTATATATATATACATATACATATATATATTATACACCTATTTACTGGCTATGAGGACAATAGCAAGTTTATCGTCCCCCAAGACAGCAACTATTTCCCGAGGCGCAGCCGAGGGAAATAGTTGCTGTCGAGGGGGACGATAAACTTGCTATTGTCCTCATAGCCAGTAAATAGGTGTTTTATTATACCGAAGCTGACTTTATACTTGTGTTACGTCACAATCTGGATAAAATCAGAAGAGCTCCGAAATGAAAAGAGAGGGAAACGGAATGCTGCCGGTGAATAGTTTGATGACTATTTCACCATGGGCTAATAGCACAAAAACTATTCCACGGTTTAAAAAAATAGTCGATTTATTCGTCATATTTTTATATAGAAAAAATTCACAGAGGTATAATAAATATATATATTAGGGATGTCAACGAGTACCCAGTTAACCGGGTACTCGATCGAACGTCCGAGTATCGAATACTAAAAATGGCACTTGGTTACTCGGATGTATATTTTTCTTATTTCAAAGTATGTATATTTCTTAGTTAATATTTTTATCAAAAAATAACTTAATTATGCATACGGTAAATAATGTGTCGTCATCTACACCTGTAAACACCCGTTATCCCCTGTGGCTGTGTTTATACAATTATTAGTGACCAATCACCTGGTACACAGCTGTTCTCGTCTATTGTTGTCCTTAATTTTTGAATGGCTTCAATGATTGTTTTCATTGCACATCGTTTAAGTATGGTCTATTATCTTCATTTTTAAATTATTTAGTTTATATACGGCAGCGAAAATGGACATGCATAGAAATTCCGCTACCCACTTTAAAAGTGAAGAAATATTTAGAAATAACGCAAGATTGAAAAAAAATGTTGAAAATTAGTATGCGTAGTAGGTTTAGTGTATACCGTGGAAACGACCATCATATGAAAAAAAATATTAGACTAGCGATCCCAACAACGTCCTTCCTTCTCTTTCCCTAGTTTAATCATCACAAACCTGCATAGCAGGTTGTCCTCCTTTTGCGTTGATCAAATAGATCCTAAACAAGAACTGTAAACCATTTGTAAATTTGATGTATTAATTGTGTCTTTTGTGTTCATTTGATAAATAAATTAAGTACCACAAAATCATTTCCGTTGGAATCTATATTTATATACCTTTATAAATGTGATAAAAACAGCTTTGGGGTTTGACCGAGCTTAACGTGGCTCAAGAAAATTAACACACTTGTATTAATAAATTTTACTTTTTTACGGAGTACCCGGGTACTCAATCGGAAAAACGTCCGAGTAACCGATTATCAAAAATTGACCGATCTGACATCCCTAATATATATATATATATATATATATATATATATATGTATATATATATATATATATATATATATATATATAATTTTTTGTGCTTTTTTATATTTTTTTATATTACTATTTCTTCACTTAGGGCAGTTATATTAGTTTAAGAGATGTTGTTTATAAAATGTGCTTTATAAATAAAATTAATTAATTACAATGTGTATCGGTAATGATCCTCTAATAAAACTAATGTTCAAATAACTGTATTTCACTTCCATTCTCAATGACCGTGTAGTGTAGGACAGTGCCGCGAGAATTCCATCGGCATCGAAAGCAAATTTTTTGACTTGCCTAGATGGCTGAGCCGTCTAGCGCGCTGTTCCTGTACTGCTAAGAGACAGATTCCGTAGGTTGAGAGTTCAACCCCGGATTGGGGTGGACGTGGGTATCCTTAGAAAAGTGATTTGTGCTTTCTATATATAGATACATATATATTTATATAGATATATTCCTGTGTGAAACTTCGATCTCCTATTGTGGCCCCACCCAATCCCACCTGGGCCGTGATTTGAACAAACTTGAATCTACACTACCTGAGGATACTTTGGAATCCATATTAATATGACTAATCATGGCTTTGCTGTTCTTTAAAAGATTTAGATATTTTTTATTTCTACTATTCCAATGTAAAATTATGAGTGCCCATTGTGGCTCCACCATACCTCCAAAGGTCTTGATTTGAACAAATTTGAATCCACAATACCTGATAATGCTTCCATATTAATATATTCCTATGAAAAACTTTGATCATTTATCATCTATTGTGCCCCCCCCCCCCATGATTTGAACAAACTGTAATCTACACTACTAGTATGTAATGAAGCTTTTACCTTAGTGTCATCCTTTCTGGCCCAGTCATTTTTAACAAGAATGTTTTTGAAAGATGCCAACAAATTTTCACTAATTTTTAATTATCTCCCCTTGAAAGAGGTTATGGCCTTTCATTTGAACAAACTTGAATCCCCTTCACCAAAGGATGCCTTGTGGCAAGTTGCATTAAAATTGACCCAGTTGTTCTTGAGAAAAAGTAGAAAATTTTTAACAGTTTACAGTTGGCGAAAAAGATGGACAGACAGCAGAAAAATGTGATCAGAATAGCTCAGGCGAGCTAAAAATAGCCACCTAGCTTTCTGATTTATTAGGTTTTGTGTACTCTGGATTGTATGACATAAACAGATTTGTCATTTATGCAAACTAACCATGTCCTTCAATGTATAAGGTTGAAACATAAAAAAAAGCAACAAAAAACAAAAAAGGAAACAGACATTTTTTTTCCTTAAATGTGTGCAACTGTGGAATAGACACATAAAATGAGGGTTTTAACATCAACTTTAAGGAAGTGTCGATGAATTAAATGTCAAAAGTTTTGATATGGTTTTCATTGTTGACAAGAGAAGCTGTAGAAAAGCCAGTGCACGGGCAGTGGATTTTAATTGAAAACACTGAATGTAAGTTCTATAGCAGTATTGTAATTATGGTTGCATATATTACATCTAAGTGTTGCTATGTAAGTGATGTTCACCATATGTTACCTATGGAGAGGACGCTGACTCTTATTTTAAGAGATTAATTTCCACATGGTAAGAAACAGATGTCAAAAGGTCAAACCAAGTCTGACTTACTTTTTTTAATACATACCTATACCTCTTCAGTCTTCTAAGATACTAACATTTTGTTACTCTTCATATTTACTATTCCTCACTGAAATGGGAATAATATTTGCAGTTGTCATTATTGTTGTGTATGTTGTGACGATATGTGTTGTAAAATGCTGTAATAATAAACCAACAGGTGCTGACATGAATCAAGACGATACTTGTACATCTGACTCCGACTACTGATGGCTGACCGTGATGTCCAGGACAAAGACGAAGGAAAGGCCATGGTATTTATTCCCGTAGGGCGTAACCTTCAGCGACCCACTATCCTGCCGACCACATGTGGATTCCGCCGGCTGTATGTTCACATCTGTCTCTTTGCCGTAGTGATCATAGTGATTCTGGTCCTACGAGCGATCTCCAATGTACGTGTGGTCTTTGTGCAGTATCACTCAAATTCTGACACTGATGGAGAGTTGGTTGTTCTACCAGAGAAGTTTGCTTTTTCCAGAGGAGCGTATTGTCTGGATGGTTCACCTCCTGGGTATTACATCAGATATGGTAAGAATTTCACATAATATGTGTGCACTGTCTACAAAATATAGTAAATGTAGATGTAGCAAGAGTAAAGCACAATCTGTCCTCACATTGTAAAGATGGCAGAGCATCATTTAGAAGATTTAAATATGTTACTGCACATTTAAGACTGTTAAAGACTTTCAGTTTGCAAAAGCTTTTTCTTAAATTTATTAAAGTTATAAAGTAGCAGATTTTCTGAAGTTGTCATCATTTTTTCCTTTTTAATTTCATTATTTTATATGTATACCTGAATGCATTTCAGATTGAATGAATGCTTAAACCAGAAAATCACATGCACATACAATTCTCAATGACATCTATAAGTCTTGTAGGTAATGAATTGCACCATGTACTGGGTATGCATGCTGGAGAAATTTCTACAGTTGTAGAATTACTAGTACATGTGGATGTGACTGCAATTCAGGGCTCGAGCTGTGATTCGCCATTTGCGCCAATTGCGAATTTTTTCCAAAAGTGGCGAAAAGAAGTTCAAAAGTGGCGAAAATGAATTTTTTTAAGATATACCACACAAAAGTGTGTGTACTCCTGGCTATCTCCTTTGTTTATTCAATGTATACAGATTAGCCCCTTTGTTTATTTAATGCAAGCAGACATGTGAATTCAGGGTGTGAAAACTCTATGAAACTTACAAAACAATGTACATGTACGAAATCACGTCTCGCTTGAACGCACACAGCTGACTAGGTACATATAACTTTAGCGTGGAGCAGTATGGGGATACAAAATTACTTGAAATAATATAAGATGGATTAAACAAGGAAAGACAAAGTGTTTTGGGGAGAGGAAGTTAATAAAAGATTTTAATCAATAAAATTTCGATCTATATAGATTGTTTTTTTAAACCGAAAGTAGGAAAATATGACGAAAATTGCAAAGCATGGCTGCTAATTTTACCTGATTAAAATAAAAATAGTGTGTTCATTATACCAGAAACTGACTAAGAGTGAAAGAGATACTGGCTTGGAAACAAAACAATACTTTTGTCAATTACGCTGAATTATTTTCAATTATACGAATTTACATGCATACACCCAGTGTCCAAGTTGTTATTAAGCCAAGTTTTAAACCTGATTTTAATTACTTCTTTTCACAATAAATTGTTGGTATGATTAAAATTTTCACTTATATTATTTTTTCATTTTTCAAAAATGTCCTATATCTTTAATAAGTCTGTAACCCCCCTCCCCAGGCTAAAAAAAAATGTTATGTACAAGAGGACATCTACTGTCAAGAGTTGGCTAATATCAGTATCAAATTAATTTTATAAAATAAATGTAGAAATAATTCCTATATTAGTTTGTAAGTGGATACAACTTTAAATTTTACAATTTTAAAAAATGCCTGTGATAAAAACAAATTGAAATAGTACTATTAGTGGAGTGTTTAACATATACACTTGTCGAGACAAGACATAAGAATGCGATTCCTTTCATCGCAAAAAGTGGCGAAAAATATTTTTGCTCTAGTGGGAGCTCTGCTGCAATTAAGCAAAAATATCTACTTTGTAACCACAAAGCATGCTATAGATAAGGATAGTTCATAGAGAAAAAGGAGGTGGGGATGTGAGTTAAGTTGATATCAACAGTATATTGTGTATTGCTACTTTTAGGGAAGAGTCCTAACCTGAACAAATGGATTGTACATCTTCCAGCAGGTGCTTGGTGTTCATCTGTGGAGGAATGCTACAGCAGGTAAGATGTACACAGATGTCTTAGATGTGGAGGAATGCTACAGCAGGTAAGACTTACACAGATGTCTTTAGATGTGGAGGAATGCTACAGCAGGTAAGACTTACACAGATGTATTTAGATGTGGAGGAATGCTACAGCAGGTAAGACTAACACAGATGTCTTAGAAGTGGAGGAATGCTACAGCAGGTAAGACTTACACAGATGTATTTAAATTTGGAGGAATGCTACAGCAGGTAAGACTAACACAGATGTCTTATCTGTGGAGGAATGCTACAGCAGGTAAAACTTACACAGATGTCTTAGAAGTGGAGGAATGCTACAGCAGGTAAGACTTACACAGATGTATTTAGATGTGGAGGAATGCTACAGCAGGTAAGACTTTCACAGATGTCGGAATGCTACAGCAGGTAACACTTTCACGGATGTCTTAAATGTGGAGGAATGCTACAGCAGGTAAGACTTACACAGATGTCTTTAGATGTGGAGGAATGCCACAGCAGGTAAGACTAACACAGATGTCTTAGCTGTGGAGGAATGCTACAACAGGTAAAACTTACACAGATGTCTTTGATGTGGAGGAATGCTACGGCAGGTTAATGCTCTATTATATATTAATATTATGCATTTATTAACAGCAAATTTTAAACCCAAAAGCATCTTTTTTGCTAATTGATTTTTTTTTTTACATTTTCTCTGAAAAAAGGCCAAAAAATTCTAATAAAATAATTAAGAGCTTATATCAGTCTTTCCAAGCTGAAACCCAAGTAAAGGGATGTCTTAAATATTAAATAAAAATTTGGATTTGCATTCCTGCTTAATACAAAGAAATCCGAGTCATAATATTCAACTGACTGATCATTTTATTTTTTTCTTCGGTAAAATTAAAAATTATAAATTGAGAATTTGATATTTACAGGAGTCTGACAGAGCTTGGCTCCAGTGTGGAGGCTCCAATGTTCCGAGCTTTCAATGGAATTCTTTCTCCTAGCGAGTCTGAAAACCCCAAATTTCACATGTGGAATATGGTGGATTTTCTGTACTGTGATGGTGGCTCCTTTCTAGGTATCACTTATGCATTATGGATTATTATTTACAGTTTTTGATTCAGTACAAGACTGAACTGAAAATTCTTTGTTAAAGCTGAAAGTCTTAACATCTGTATGAGGATTTGCAAAATTGAAGCATTTAGAAGTTGTACAATAATTTAATATATATGCCGAAAGAATGCTGAAGAGAGATACTTCAAACTTCAAGTAAACTGAGTAGAGGTCACTATTTAAAGTCACGTATTTATATTTTCACTGACTTCGTTTATTGTATATTTATTACACAGGAAACAGAAGTAATGTTATCAGCCACAAATCTAAGAAGTTATACCTGACAGGTTTTCAGGTGTTTAATGCTTTGATTGACTATTTACTGGAACACACAGAACTCAGAACAGCTGACCAGATCATCCTTATAGGTTCCTCAGGTAACCCGGAATTTATAGGTTACACTGTTACGATAGACTTGCCTCCATAGACTTCTCCACATTTATATTAGAAGGATAATCTTCTTTATTCTAAACTATATATAAATTTGGGCTGTTCAGTCCCAAACTCAGCAAAAAGCACAAAGCAACATGAACATTTGATTGAAAAAATATGATACTCATCTACCATTAATGCAGAAAAAGTGGTCTTTTTTAACTAAATTTCTTTAAGACACAATTGTTGTATTTTGATATATAAGTATGTCATAGATTTATTACAAAATGTTTAAAAAATACTTTAATTATAACTCCACTCTGAAGGAGATGGAGTACATTGTTTTACCCTTGTGTGTCTGTCTCAACAAATTTAGGTCACAGTTTTCTCAGCAACTACTCATCCCAGATTCTTGAAATTTTAGCACACACTTTGTCTAGGCATGTCATATAATGGGATTCATTTTTGTACGAATCTGATGTCTACTTCCTGTTTATCTGTCCGTAAAAAAATTTGGTCGCAGTTTTCTCAGCAACTGCTCATTGCAGATTCTTGAAATTTTAGCACTCTCTTTGTCTAGGCATGCCATAGGGTGGGATTCATTTTTGTACAAATCTGATGTCAACTTCCTGTTTTTCCATGTGTTTCTCAGCAGCTACTCATTGCTGATGCTTGAAATTTTAGCACATTCTTTGTTTAGGCATGCCAAATGGTGGGATCTACTTTTTTAGCTCACCTGAGCCAAAGGCTCAAGTGAGCTTTTCTGATCAAAATTTGTCTGTTGTCTGTCGTCGTTGTCAACTTTTCACAATTTCATCTTCTTCTCCAGAACTACCGGGCCAATTTCAACCACAGAGTATCCTTGGGTAAAGGGGATTCAAGTTTGTTCAAATGAAGGGCCACACCCTCTTCCAAGGGGAGATAATTACAAATTAGTGAAAAATTAATGGCATCCTTTAAAAATCTTCTTCTCAAGAACCACTGGGCCAGGAAAGATGAAACTCATGTGGAATCATCCTCAGGTAGTGTAGATTCATATTTGTTCAAGGGAGGGGCCACAATGGACGAGGAAAGTTTTACATAGGAATATAAAGGAAAAAAATCTTTAAAAATCTTCTCAAGAACAGCAAAGTGCTGGTTGGTCATATTTACATGGAAGCATCCTCAAGTGGTGCAGATTCATATTTATTCAAATCATTACCCCTGGGAATGGAGGATAAAAGTTTTAAATAGGAATATATAGGAAAAATCTTTTAAAAATCTTCTTCTCAAGAACAGCAAAGCCATGATTGGTCATATTTTTGTGGTAGTATCCTCAGGTGGTGTAGATTCAAGTTTGTTCAAATCATGACCCCATGGGATAGGGTGGGGCATAATGGACAATCAAAGTTTTACATAGGAATGTTTAGGAAAAATCTTTTAAAAAATCTTCTCAAGAAAAGCAAAGCCATGATTGGTCATATTTATATGGAAGCATCCTCAGGTGGTGTAGATTCAAGTTTGTTTAAATCATGACCCCTGGGGGAAGGGTGGGGCCACAACGGACGATTAAAGTTTTACATAGGATCCGGAATATATTGAAAAAACTTCTGAAGAACAACAAAGCCATGATTGGTTATTAACTCCTCGGAAGTATCCTAAGAAAGTTATATTCATGTTTGAAAAAAAAATCATGACCCCCCTGGGGATAGGGTGGGGCCACAATTGATGATTAAAGTTATGCATAGGAATACATAGGAAATTTTTTTTAAAATCTTCTTCTCAAGAACAGCAAAGCTATGATTGGTCATGATTATATGGAAGCATCCTCAGATAGTGTAGATTCAGATTTGTTCAAGCCATGACCCCCGGGGGTAGGGTGGGACCATAATGAAAGTTCAAACTTGTAGGAAAAAGTCACAGACAAAGAAATATGTAAGCATCTTTAGTTAGTGTAGATTCAATTTTGTTCAAATCATACCCCCCCCCCACTGGTCCCTCTTTAGGGGTAGGTCGGGACCACTTATGTATTAAAGCTTTTCAATACTGAACTGATTTTGCTGTTTTCTTAGCCACAGTGCTCAGGTGAGCGATGTGGCCCATGGGCCTCTTGTTATGAATCTGATGTCAACTTCCTGTTTATCCATGTGTCTGTTTTCTCAGCAACTACTCTAGACAGATGCTTGAAATTTTAGCACACTCTTTGTTAAGGCATGCCATATGATGGGATTGATGAGAGCGTATAGTCACATCAGAGCGAGGGTATTACTAGTGAGCATTGGCTCACAGACTTCTTGTTTAATCAATAACCTGTCAAAATTCTTCTGAATATCTGTCAAATATCTGTTATATTTAGCTGGTGGAGTGGGGGCCGCAGTCAACGCTGACTACTTGAGGAAGCGACTGACCGGGGTAAACTCAGTACACCTTGTGGTGGATGGAAGCATATTTGTGGACAACCCTGAACAAACTGGACAGCATGTGATGAGGAATATCTTCAAAAATACATTCTACCTTCATAATATACAAGGTAAATAGAGGATATTCAATGTCTTGTAGTTGAATATTGAATTTCACTCGTGGGACAGGATTTTTTTTTTATATTTTCACGAGTGTGAAGCACAAGTGAAAATATAAAAAAAATCCCATCTCACGAGTGAAATAAATTCCATATCCAACTACAAAACATTGAATTTTCTGTTTATTACATTTTCTTTAATTTTCCCTTTGCCTCAGTCATTTCTTAACACAGTGTCATAGGCTATGATGTCATAGTTGAGCAGTGGAGATGTCATAGCTTAGCAGTTGTGAGATTGAAAGCATTGTAACATAGATTTTAGCAACATATTTGGGAAGAAATTGGCAGTTTTAGTCTCTATCAAGCTGGTTTAATTACTATCTATCTTATTACATGCCAGAAATTATTTTTTAGCTCACCTCAATGAAGTTGGGAGAGCTTATGTAATACCCACTGCATTGGTGCCAGTGTCAGTGTCCCAGGTTAAAGTTTTTGGAGCAGTTTTCCTTTCAAGTACTTGTATGCCCTATATTAATCAGAGATGCATAGATGATGCTTCTAGTGTGTTTCATTGTACCATTCAAGGTTTCAGATGCTGCAATTTCAGCTAAAGAATGACCAAGTTTAATGTTTTTGGAGCGGGTTAAAGTTTTTGGAGCAGGTCTCATTTCCAAGTAACTATAAGGCCTATTTGAACGAACTATGCATGGATGATACATCTAAGGATGCACACTACTGGACTTGCTTCGGATGCTGGATCTGACCTAAATTTTCCGGTTGAGTGACCAGGTTTTTGGAGCAGGTCTGATTTCCAAGTAACTTTAAGACATATGTTGACCAAACTTGCATGAATGATACATCTAATGATGCACACTATCAGACTTGCTTCAGATGCTGTATCTGACCTACATTTTCCAGATGAGTGACCAGGTTAAAGTAAACTATAAGGGCTACATTATCAGAACCAAACTTGCATGGATGATGCATCACTGGATGAACACTCTCAAACTTGCTTCAGATGCTGGATATGACTTACATTTTCTGGATGAGTGACTAGTTTAAAGTTTTTAGGTAAGTCCATTCCCAAGTAACTGCAAGCCCTATTGGACCAAAATTGCATTAAATGTTACATCTAGGGATGCACACTACTAGATTATTAATTTGGGACTTTGCCTTACTTAAAGACAACATTCGTTGAGGTGAGCTCTGTAATCTCTGATTACCTATGTTTGATATCTAGCAAAACAGGAAAACATTAGAGGTTTGAATAACTCATCAAAATAACTAAAAGCACATGTACATGTACTAGAATTTGACGGGGCTTTCAATATCTGTATGCCCAAGTTAATTAGGTCATTTTAGTTATTTTCTCTCTGTACAGGTGTTCATTCTTTCTTAACTTTATACGTGTATATGGTAAAACAGGGAGAGCAAACATGCTTCTATAATGCATTTTATGCTTACAGCTAAGTGATCTTCATTCCCTGAACATATCAGATATAATGAATTATGTTTATAACAAATCAAATTAGTTTGTCCCTGGCAGTTCACTATAAACATGTTTTACTGTATACAAAATAAATGTTCATGAAATTTGAATGGTGTTTTTTCTTCTGTAACAAGGTGCTGAAAGTATTCAGGAGTGTACCCAGAAGCTGCCCAGCAGTGACCAATGGCAGTGTCTCCAACCCACCTTCTTCTACAAACACCTGTTTACACCTGTCTTCTTCCTCAATTCTCTCCATGATTCCTGGTACAGTAAGAATGCTATAGGAGTTACCTGTCCTTTCTCCACCTGTAGTCAGTCAGACATCAGTGTACTGGATCAACACAGAAGCTTTATTCTCTCCAGACTCTCTCCTGTCCTGCAGTCGAAGCAGGATGGTATATATCTGACTTCCTGTCCGATTCACACCATGACGATGAACAAAAGATTCTCTTCTAAGTTGAGTGAAGTGGGTATTTCCCCTCAGACTGCTTTAATTAAGTGGTATTTTCACCAAGTTCCCAATTATACTTTTGTTGAGAACATAGATTTTAGAGAAGCTACAGCAGTTTGTAAGTTAGGAAATTGAAAATACCTGAATTTTTTTAACTTATAGTTCTTCCACGGAAAGAAACTTGTTATCTAACTGCTTTCTGACCACTGTGTAAATTTTGAATTAAGTAAATTTCAGGTGACACACAAAATTGAAACTGCAAATTGAACAAAAAATGCATCAAAATTTCTTATACTCAGTCTTCTATATATTGCTTGTTTTTATGTGTTGTTTTGTTAATTGGCTTTATAAATGTATGTGCATAGAATAACAAACAATTCTCAACTATAGTAAGTCAGTAAACCCAGCACATTTTTTGTTGGGAAATTTACTTTAAAGTATTTTACTTATTCTTCATTATCCATAAATGTTCTCATTTCACTGATTCTTTTATTTACAGGCTCATTGTTTTAATTTAGATTTTGTTCGATGTTGTAAAACTTCACAAGTGCTTTAAAGTAGAACAGTATTTTCCAGGGAGGGATGTTGTGCCAAATATTAGGCTTTAGTGGAGATTTTTTTTTCATAAAACGTGTAAATTTTTTTTTACAAAATAAGTATTCTTTGATGAAATCCTGTTAGTGAACTTAGAGAACTGGTATACAGTATTAATATTATATATGCATCATGTATACACTAATTCTTTGTTTTATAATGTATCATGTACCTTCAAGCAGCATAAGAAGACATTTGAAAAATAGTGCCATGTCATGTAAAATGTTGTAGTAGACTAGTAGCCCTTTGTTGAAGAAGGAAGTTCAACATTTACTGTATTATTTATAGAACTTCAATTTGGAACTTTTAATTTGATATACACTTTCACTTTACTCTGTATATTACATCAGTTGTACATATAATTTCTTCTACTATCATGTAAAATGATTTTATATTTAAATACCTAATGAGCATATAGAACACATTTCACATGCAGATTTGTATGACTTGTGAACATGTGAACTTATTAATTAATTAAAACGTCCATTAATAGAACAAATTACATTATGTAATGCAGTCATCTATGTTTGACTTGAACATACATTTCTTAAATTGTTCATTGAACTGGTATTGCACTGAATTCCTCATTCTTTACCCTTTAATGTTCCACATTTTGACACTGTGTGACTGTGATTTCTACATGTATCATTTATTTACTATAATTTTTACTATAATGTTAATAAAGATGGAGAAATTTTGATTTGATACAATGGAGATTTTTTTTAAATTTATATCCAATTAACTGATTTCCAAAAAAAATAGATTGTTGAACATACCTGTTTTAATTTTTAGACAGATATTTCCTTTCTGAAATTTTCCAATCTTTTTTTTTTTTTTTGTGTGTGTGTTGAAGTATAAATTATGTGCTTATTACAAGTTAACATATGCAAAATATTAGTGCAAGTCACAGTCATGTTATTCTTTTTGGTAATGACGCAGGTGTACTTTTGAAGTTTTGTGCAATACGATAAATGTACACATGTATGTCTAAACTAATTTACTCAAAATTCGTTGCCTTTTAATCATGTTTGAAGGATAATGAACATTAGGATTGACTTAAAATTGCACTTCATTTCTCCGATCTCTACACAGAAACTATCACTAATTAGTAATAAGATATATACAATAAACTCACCCGTGTTTATATAATTTTACATCTAATTGATATTTTTCTTTCGCATTACTATATATTTACATACTTTATCTACAAAGTTACTGCATGTACATGTAACAGTTTCCAAAGATCTCAGACTGGATATTAACTATGAATAAGTAGTAAATGAACCTCTCTGTCAGTACTGCAGGACTAACCCTGGTAAAAACAATGCAAGACAGAAACTTATAGTCTCTTACTTCATGTGTTGATCTAATAATCCATTGATCAAAACTGTTTTATGTCATAATTTTCTTTCATTTGGCTACTTGTTTACTGTACATGTATCTGTGAAGCAAATTTGACCTAGAAAAGTTTAATCATATGGAACCTGTACCAAAGCAGTCAAATTAGTGATTCTGACCTTGACCTTCAACTTTTTCTTGACCCCATGATTGTATTGAGACAACCTTGTTCTTTGTTGCCATATAACACAGAGTTGTGATGTCTTCCACACTGTTTAACAAAGGATTGATCATGCTGATATCAATCTTTTTTATTTAGAATTTTGAATTGTTGCTCAGTTGTATTTACAGTGACTAATGATATAAAATTCCCTAAATGATATAAAATAGCATTATTGGATTGATTTGCATACATTCAAATATTAATCTTAATGGTAATAAACCATTATGTTGACCATGAGTGATACAATGTCCATTAACAGAACAGTTTACATTATTTATGGATATAACAATATCATCCACTAGTGAAATGAATAATAAAGAAGCACACACTCATCACTTAAAAAAAATTACAAATGTCATTAATGTTTGCATATGTGTCCACTAATGCTAAACATATCCTTCATGGATTATATATCATTAGTGGTTACTTCAATGCTTTTTTTTTTCTACGAAGTGTGAGAGAGATCATCAAATTCTTAAGTTACTGTCTCCCCAAAAAGGTGAAAATACATGTATAATACATGTTTGAGTTAATACATAAACATAATATTTTCTTTTCTTTTTTTTTTTCATGCTTTTTGCTTTACTCTAGGGTATTGTCTGGATTGTTGGTCTGTACTGACAAGTTTGCTTTAATTTTAATATTCAGAAAAGTACATGACAAATATATGTACATTTCTTAATCAAAATACTGTATGACGGGTATTTTCTGCAGTTGGAAATTTTTTTTGATTTGACCCAAGAAAGACAGCAAATTAATTTGTGATTTTAATTTCTGCAGTTGTATTAATATATTCCAACAATTTATTTATGACTATACTACCAGATTCTGACAATTTGACAGAACACCACGTTTTTATACCCACACTTGAAAAGGGGGGATGTATAATGATGGGGGTGTCTGTCCATCCATTATGTTTTGGGGTACACATCTCTTATCCTCAACTCCTCCTATACCACTGAATAAAATTTAATGAGATCTTCTCAGAATCTTTGTTACATGGTGCCATTGTGACCTTCTATTTCACTTTTTGATCTGACACTTATTTCAGGTCTCCCATAACAAAACATGGACTTTGCCATTATAATCATATGGGAGGTGGGAGGTATCATTTTGTGAGCTCAGTGCTCACAGTACCTCTAGTTTAACATAGTTTCAAATTCTTTTAATGATATGTTGACCCACAGTGCATTATATTTAGAATTTCTTCTTTGCCTATCAATGTTCAAGTTAGTGTTCATAAATCATTTTCAAATCACTTTTACTGAAGTTCGTAAGTCAGTAAGCATAAATCCATTTTAGAATATACAGCAAGTAGGTATGAAACAAGATTTCCTCAAGATGTCTGACATATACACCACTTACCATGTTTGGAAATTAAAAAAAAAAGAATGTATAGAATTTCTGATATTTCTGGAATGTTTTGCGATTATAATTTTTGCAGATACTTCCTATTTACAATAATTGACAAAACGCAGAAAATATCCACTACACAGTATCAAGCTTTGTAAGCAAATTTTGCTTTCTATACATTACAATAAAGGTTACTCACTAACGCAAAACTCGATATTATTTTCTTAAATTTTATTCAGAGTGATATTTTATGTAATATTTACATATAACATTCTTTGTCACCATTTATAATTTGTGAACACATTGATGTGAAGTGGAATAAAATGATACCATTTTCAAGTTTCTTTCTATTGAGCATATATATATATATATATATATATATATATATATATATATATATATATATATATATATACTGAAATTAAATATCGATTTAACAATTTATTCCACATTAGAGGTTACTGTTATTTAAGAAATAAAGAATCATATTTAAACTTTTATTGGGAAGGAAATACGGGTTGGTGATGTGATCACGTGCCAACCCGTATTTACATCCTGATAAAAGTTTAAAAATGATACCTTATTACTTATATTTACATTTGTGACTGATTTATTACAAATGCTTGGGTCCTATAGTTTTAAACCCATAAATTGATTTTTTTTTTCAAACCTCACCGGTATAAATTGAATGTGTTGAACTTAAATCGCTAAAATTACTTCTTGCTAAAATTAATTACTGATTTTTTAAGGACAAATCACTAAATTTGTGTCTTGCTAAAAATTCAACTTTTACGGTATATTCATGTATATACACTGACCTGAAGTAGCATATCTTTAACATTACTGAATTTCCCTCTCATAAAGGAAAATAAAACGGTAGAAAGTAATGAAGTCTGTTATCTGAACACCTCTTTTGTGAAGCCCTTCACTTTCTCACAGCAGGAAATAGATTCCGTTTAATGGACGATGTGTACAATGAAGCATCATAAACACAATAGTCTTGTGTGGGGGGGAACCATGGGATTTGTTTTCTGAAAAACAAAATTTAATATATTAAGTGTACTAAAACAGAACAAGTTGTTAATGCTCATGATTAATGACACAGTAGTATGTTTTCTACACATTACAAAGACTAGTTCTATGGCAATGGAGGCATGCAGCTTTTCATTCTGTATTCTACAATCACCATAATGGCCCTACTTGCGAGTTGCTTGAATCATATAGCATTGCCGACTTCAACAACCTGACAAATTTCAGTAGCTAGTCAGTAATAAACCTAATGTTTTATCAATTATGCAAGGACCAATCAGAGTTAACAAACCTGATGCTGATATACAGAATTAAAGGGATTTTCTTTTCATTCTCCGTTGGCTGTGTATATTTCTCCACCACCTAAAAGTTCATGTTCCCTAATATCAGGGTCAAGGTTAGGGCTAAAAGGGGGCACTACTCTAAATTGAAACATAGCAATATGAAAAATACAAAGCTGTTTATTAATATGGAAATTCTGTATTTATCCCAGATTTTTGTTTTAAAATGTGGATTAAAGATTATCCTCTGAAATATACGCTTCTGTGTTATGCTCCGAATATTTATTCTTTTTGTGTTACATTAATATTTTAGCAATGATAGGGATATATTATAAACATTAATTATACTGATATATAGATAATTGGATTGCCATTTATGCAAAACTGCTGACAAAACAGAATGATATTGTGTAACAATAAAAATTCTCATCTACAAGTTATCAAATGTACATTAGAAAATTAAGATAATGTATTGGCAACAATTAACTACAAATAAAAAGCTAAATCTCTATGAAGGGGAACCACTTCAATTATTGAAAACTGCAAAAAAGGGTCAACAGCTCTGAAAATAATCCTAAAAAAGGGACAACATAGTACTTTTTTGATTTGCGTGTTATCATCTAAATTTTTGCAATGCCTACTCATTCACAGAAATATAGGCAGCAGGCATGTGACATCTGTTACCCAACAACAGAGTCAAGTCACGATAATGTGGGAGGAGAATGGCACCTGATCCCATCTCTGATGTTTTCAGAAGTCCGTGTTTCTATGGCCTTATATATGCTGACTGTACAATACAATGTGAGACAACGGCCAAATATAACTGGCTTTATTACATAATTTGAGAGAAGAGCCTTATACACGGACCATATCAGCCCTATATATTGAATATATCACACAATGTAAGAAGAATGCAGGCTCGACAATGACTGTATCATTCAGTCCTAGACAAAAATGGCCGTTATACTTATTGTAATGCACAATCTAAGAGTACACTAGTCCCATGTAGTGACTGTATCAGACTAACAATTTGAGGTAAACACCTTCAAAATAATAATACTTGTAATGTGGAGGACTTGTGCTATGCATGTACATGTACTTGGAGACATCATACTTATAATGTGTGAGGAGAATGGTCCTATACGCTGACAATATCATACTTGCAATGTGTGAGGAGAATGGTCCTACACACTGACAGTATCATACTTACAATGTGTGAGGAGAATGGTCCTATCCATTGACAGTATCATACTTACAATGTGTGAGGAGAATGGTCCTATACACAGACAGTATCATACTTACAATGTGTGAGGAGAATGGTCCTATACACTGACAGTACCATACTTACAATGTGTGAGGAGAATGGTCCTATACATTGACAGTATCTCCTCATGGCTTCATGGATGTCCTCGGGCTGTATCGCTGTGGAGATCTCTAATGCACTTCCTATACCACTCTGAAAATATAAACTTGGTAATATTCCTGATCTTATACAGTAACAGACCTATAAGGGCAGAATACTTACTGTAGAGTCCTTAATATATATATATATATATATATATATATATATATATATATATATATATATATATATATACAATGTATATATATATATATAAGCAAGGAATTTATTTTTAGGTAAATTCCGTAGAAATTCGGTAGAAACACCACAGGTGATATAAAATTTCTCGCTTTTATTTTTAAAATTTTTGATATACATGTAAAATAACATGTAAAACTCGTTTAGCATGACCACCAAGCAAAGTTTTCTGGGATCTCCAGCAAAGTGACATAATTTTTTATAACCATTTGAAATTCAGATTATCAAAAAAACTTTAGTAACCCAAGATACGTTTTATATGTTTTATATTCAATACTTCCCACAACATATTTGGTAGTCTCACTTGAAGGAAAATGTATATTGTGACTTTGTTACATGTACTTTTACTAATGAATTCGCTATATGGATATAACATATTACAAATATAGCGAAGTGTATTTATGGTCCCCAGGACTTTGCTTACAACCAAGTTTTACTGTAAACAGTCCATCCGCCAATTGAAATTCTAGTGATTGACTTGCATGAGTCATTTTGTGATATTAACTACTAGTGTAAAATAAAGAATCTACAGTCTATGAAAGGCAAGGAAATCCCATCAAAGAAAACCCAATTAAGTACCATTTGTAGTATGTTATTGTCTAAAGTCAATGCATACTGATTGATGATTGACATAATTTCTCATGTTCTCATATTTTGATGAATATAAACAGAATGAATTTGAGTCGTGTTTGTTTACCTTTTTGCGTTTTTTACTCTTTGGTTTGGGGAGTGAGGCACTGAGAGAAGAAGAGCTGGAACTCAAACTGAGGGTGGATCCAGGAGTTGTTGGAGTGGCAGGAGGACTCTGGTAAAAAAGCTAAATATTTAAACAAAGAAAGAAAGGAAAGCACCTGTAAATGATATGTAAACAAGTAAAAAATGAACATTTTGAATTGTAGTCACCAAGATTATCCATCTTCTAAAACAGTAGTCTATATATGGGACATCATCATCTGTTTAACATACAGTCTGTAAATCTCTAAAATGAAATAATCCTAACTATTTTTGTCATGCCTGCATGCTCCTATATAATCTGTGTACATTGGTTATTGTTCTGATGTCTGACTTGGATGTAATAAAACAATATGTGATCTAATATTTCCTACTAATTGCATGTTATTTTTAGATGAAGAATTACAATAAAAGCAATGTTAATCAGAATTTTGATGTGTGATTCAGAACTATAGCAATATATATCTCCCAAAAACTTAGTTAAAAAAAATTCATAGGCTACATATCATAAGAACTTTTTTAATATGATTTTTTTTTTAATTTATAAAATTGAAGACAATTAGATGCCCTTTATAATTTCTTAAATATGACCAAATAATGAAACATTTATTGAATTATGCTTGCATCCCCACCTTTTCTTTATAACCTGATACTACATTTGGATTTTTTTTTTTTTGAAGAATTCTAAATCTAATAAATTCAATTAAGCTACACCTCCATGGAATTTTTTACATTGATATTTGTTTTTCTCTTCTGCAGGTGAAATCTCCTCTTACCTGGACAGGAGAAGTTGATCCCTGAGTGGTGGAGGGTGGGGCAGAGATACCTGACCCCAGGGAGATTTGATTGTAGTAATTAATGCAGACATTGGGTCCATTTCTTGGCACTGGGTTTCCATAAACAGATTTCTTGTCCTGCTTCACTAGCAAAGCCATGTCTACTATCTGTTTGAAAAAATGCTTAGGATTTATATTTATACTGCCCACTTGAAAAGAGGGGATACCTTATAGTGGGTTATTTTAGTGGGGTGCTAATTTTGGCTTATTTTGATAGAAGCCCGCTAAAATTTTAATCACTAAAATGTTCAGTAATCTTCTTATTGTTCATCTTCAAAGAGTTGAAACCCTGTGTCCGCTAAAATAAATTATGCCAAAATTATTGGCATGTCCTTGAGCAGGCAAAACCCCAAATTTTACACAAGCAAAGAAAACCCGTTATATGGTATATAGTGATGGGGGTGTTCATATGAACATCCAACTGTCCATCAGCTATACATACATCTTTTATCCACACCTCCTCCTATACCACTAAATAATTTACTTTTGTTTGTATTCTAGCCTCTGATTGGTTAATATCCAAAAAGGAACACAAATTATTTCTGTATAATCTGGTTTGGTATGGGACCCCCCCCCCCCCCCACCCAAACAACCAGCTGAATCTTCTGTATCCATACAATCCTCTCATTTCCAGTCCTTGGGATTCATGGAAATTTCCAAAATTGGCAAATTTGAACTAATAAAAAGCAACGAAATTTTACACCCATAGTTATTTAATGATTTTAAAATTAAATTATAAGGAATGACTTTAGTTCTTGGCCAAATTATTTGAGTATAACCTGGTTTGGGTCAGTTTACGCTGATTTATAATCCGCTTCGTGGATTATAAAGTGTAAACTGACCCAAACCAGGTTATACTCAAATAATTTGGCCAAGAACTAAAGTCATTCCTAAAATAATATTTAATGAGACTCCCCGGAATCTTAATTACTTAGTGTCATCGTGCACCTCCTATTTTATGTGCTGATCAGACACATATTTGGGTTTTCCCATAGCAAGGCATACACATTACCATTTCTTTCTGTGATATTGGGGGTACCCATCTCGTTTACAACTCCTCCTATATATCACTGAGTAAAAGAGCTAGGTATACCTTAATCCATAAAATAACCCTGTCTATCACCGTACCAATTAACTGACCAATACCCCATGTCCCATTCCAAACATCAATAAAAGTACATCCAGACTTAGTGCTTTCATTAAAAAAAAGTTTCCTCTGAGAGTCCAGGCATTGAAAAACAGGTAAAATTGTAAAGTTCTTGAATTTTGAAGTAAATGGGTGTACTTGAGTACCTGCAGCAAACATATAAAATTATATGATCCTACCCCTCAGTCCAAAAAATAAAACATGGATTATAATCTTCCGAAACAGTTCTTTCATTACCGGTATATAATTGAACATTTTGGATCACAGGTTGGACTCCTGATGATCTATGCAAAATATTGAAAAACACCCTAAACTTTTGGCCATTTTTGAAAAAAAAAGTTTAGGAATTCAGGATAATGACGCAGTTCTTCACATCATAATAAATTGTACTCATTACTTATGTAACATCAGCTTGTGGGATTGGGGAATTGCTTTTTCGACTATAATTGTTATATAACCACCTATGAACTTGTTACAGCTGGGTAGCTGTTACACCCAGAACAAAGAATATGCAATGAATTCATTAGCACTTTCCGGAAGTTTCTGTTGAGAAGTAAAAATTAATATAATTGTAAACATTACATGAACTTCACACTGACAGGGCCATGCCATGCATGTCATATGCTGTACATACTAAGTACTGTTTGCAGAAAATTAACTTCAGAATCATTCTCCAATTTTATCTGACTAGTATACATATCACATATTAAACTGTATTTAATTCAACATTCTAACTGAAATATATCAATATAGATAAGCAGTCCTTTTAAAGAAAGAATGTTAAATGTTTTTATTGCTGAAATCTTGTAAAAACATCTTTTTAGAATCTGATAATAAAAAACCTTGCAGAATTAAACCTACAGAGTGGAATGAGTCCCTTGCCTGCTACTGTTGGAAAATGCAATTATCCATACATAACCACAGCCTTATGCTTCCAAATCCCTTAAGATTAAGACTTAGGAAATGATTTTTTTTTTTAATCAGACATATAAAATGAATGTAGCAAGTCTTAAATCCCAGAAAAAGACAATTTTCAGGTCATTGCCTGGAAACCAGTTACCTTTTATTAGCAAGAGTGAATATATCTTTGTACTCGTGACTCCAAATGCAATGAAAGTGGAGACATCTAACCAACGCAATCAATTAATGAGGTCGAGTCTAATTTGAATGTGCATGATTTTGTGCAGCTTTTTAATTTCATGCAATCATAGGTGCAATATTACACCTTTCCTAAATATTGTGATTTTATTACAAAATTACAATTTAACTGTAACTTCTTTTGGCCTTAAAATGTGCTGACAATAATTAGGAAAAAATTCTGAAATGGCTCTAACTACATCATTGTTTTCTGATTTTGTAAAAATTGCATGACGCTGAAGAATGAAGAATGTCTCCCTTCTGTATTCAAGACGTTCATGGACGTTTTACTAAAAACTGTTCACAAAACATCAAAAGAAACATAATCTAAACTCTGTTATTTTTACCAAAATAATTCATCTGCACCGATGTATATACCGCAATATGGCAAATTTAGAGGTATTGGGGATTGAAAAAGAATAAACTTTGTAAAAATTCCTAGATGATTTAACCCAGATGGTCGACATTTTGAAATTAAGTTTGGTGACTTTTCACAATAACTTTCATGTATTTGTCTGAAAAAGAAATCACTAGGACAGAAAAACAAAAAATATGGAAAAAATGTGAAAATTTGGTGGAGATGATAAACATTCAATTATTTAATCTTAAAACAATTAATATAATAGTAAAAATTCATTCAAGAAAATTTATCAAAATCTCTTGGGAAGAAATAATTAGACTTGGCCCAGTTAAAACCTAAACTATCCTCAAACTGTTATTTTTACCCATACATGCAGTCACATCCTTGGACTATAAAATCAATCTTTAAGAAATTTTTCACTGAGCCAACCAAAATCAATTGAATTCAAAATATAGGGAAGCTTTCATATGTTATCTTTTCTGGCCTAGTTGTTACTGAAAAAAAATGTTTATATCACACCACCTTATTTTTAGCCATTAATTTTTTTTTCCTTGGGAGAGAGCTATTGTGGAATCATTTTAGTTCTTGAGGGGTCAATGTTCATGGGCAAGCAAAATTTTACTTGTTTATGTATGCGGGGATGTAATTTTGTGGGTTACTTGTTTATATAGTGGTTCAATCAATCAATATGTTTACAAAATAAAGGATCGCTGGAATGTAAATTCGTGGGTGTGACTCACGAAATCCACGAACATTGATCCCCCACAAACAATGAGGGTTTCACAGTTTTACCCTTCATTTGAACACTGAGCCCTTCAACTGATTGTCCTATGGAAGGTTTTGTTAAACTAGCTCAGTAATTCTTTTTTTTTTTTTGAGAAGTTGAAAATGTAAGAAGGTGCAATTAATTGGACAACAATAAAAATTTTGTAAATTCCTTTGGTGGAGTATTTTATTTGATAAAACCTTCAGAATGCTACCATGCTGAAAAATATCGGACCATTCGTTTATTAGCCGGGTACAAGATATGGTCATTATACTTTGAATACCTTAAAATCATGGAAGTGTTAATGAGAAATTTCTCTTCAGCTTTTGGTTAAAATGTCTGCCAGATAACAATTGAGCATGGTATTGATTGATTGTATGTTATTTTACGTCCCATTCGACAATTTTTCACTCATATAGTGACGTCACCATGCATAATACCAGTGATGGGTTTCAAATTTAGACCTTTTCTCGGCAACCAGAGCCATTGAGCAGTGAGGGTTCTTTATTGTGCCAATGCCTACAGTGATGAGGGGCCTTGGTTTTTAAGGTCTCATCTGAAAGACCCACAACTTTCACTTCAAAGTGCCGAGTGCTTGGTGAAGAAACAGTTGCTACCTATTTTTTATCGACTTAGGTCAGTTGTGGCTGTGATTCAAACACACGACCTTCTGATCATGGAGAACTGGGCATGGAATAAACATCATCCATGTTTTTAAATGTCTTAATTACTAGGTACATTATCACATTTTACCATCTCATTCAACTTCTTAAAACACAACATATAATATATCATATATATATATATATATATATATACATATATATATATATATATATATATATATATATATATATATATATATATATATATATATATATATATATATATATATATATATATATATATCTTATACACAACATATCATCTACCTGAGCAACTGTTTCATAGGCAAAGTAGTTGATGATTTCCATGGCATGTTGATTGGGTTTGAGATCCATAGTGATGCCAGTCAGTAACCAGTCCTTAAAGCGCTGGGCCTTGCTTCGTCTAGCTGTGATAACAAAGGACATGGTAAATCTACTGTTCATTGCACTTCATTTCTGTGCAATTTTTTGCACCTAATGAGATTTCATCAAAATTTTCTGATAATCCAAGAGGAAAAGTGTTGATCAAGGTTACGTATCAATAAAGAGGTACGTGTCATTGGGATGAAGGGTCAAAATGTCAAACTTGCCAAACCATCCACAGACCATCAGCTTTAATCTTAATTATCAAAATATTTTTTTTTTAAATCTGTCAAATTAAAGCAATTCGATGGTCTGTGGAAATATCTGACATTTTAAAAATTTGGTATAAGACATCAATTTGTAAACATAAGGTAAATATTACACATACCAAAGCTGGCTTGTCTGGCTTCAACATATTCCATATATTGCTTCTGATCCATGTATCTTGTTTGTAGTTCTGCTCTCTGTTAATCATACAATATCCCTGTATAAACATTGTCTACAAACATAGGTTGTCATAGATTTCATGTATATCACCTATCCAGTGAGCCACAGCATCCCACCTAATAAATGTTCAACAAGCCACCTATGAAAACTTCATTCTTTTGGAAGAATGTTTTAGACGTACACTTTAGAAAACCTAGCATCTAAAGCAAGACTATTCATTGTATGCATCCTTAATTGGATGTGTCATCCATGAATAATGTTTGATTCAAGGGAGGTTTTAAGTTACCAACGTAATAAATATCCTCCAAAAACTGTAACTTGTTCAATTGAAATACATTAAGTTTGAAAAAATTAACATGCATCATCCAAACATTGAATATTACTGTACATCCCTCCTTGCATCTCCATACAAGTTTTGTCCAAGGACTGAATGGAAAACATGGTGTACCTCAATTTATCGATGACCCACACTTTAAAAGTGGCTTTATCAATGACTGGCTCTACTAGGTAATCTTTTTTCAATTGTCTGTATAGATTAACACATTAATACTAACTACATATAGATTAACATAATACGAAGTACTAATCTCTTTCTCTTCACGTACAGATGAAATATGGAGATAACAAAAAGTATTCAAGCTCAAAAGTCCATTGAAACAATACAAATCAGGAGCAAACAAGGACCTCTTGATCAGGTGCCATAAAGAAGTAAACATCCCCTGTTGACCGGTCTCACTAGCCGTGTGCTCAATGTCACAAAACAAACTACAGTAGAACTTTGGTATCTCAAACACGGATATCTTGAATACCATGGATATGTTGAAGTGACCACATATTTCTTAAGTATTTTACCCCCCATATCTCGAACCCTCAGATATCTTGAAGCTTTTTCTCCCATCAAGTTTGAGATCTCTGAGGATTCGAATGTAGTAATCTAAAGATTAACACAATACTAACTAGTAATCTCTCTCTCTTCACTTCATCTGTACCTCCATCTTCAAACAGAGCCAATAGTTCTCCTAAAATATGCAAAGATAAAACAATCTCATTTTCATAATTTTTCTTTTACCTTTTTCAGTCCAAAAATTCAATGTTATGTATCCTTATAAAATGAACACCATTTTGTGTGTGTTTTCTGCAAAATCACAATAGAATTAATGTATGTCAACAATACTGACAGGAAGTAAGCTATTACTAGGTAACAATTACTCATCACTCATTTCTCATCAAACATGCAACACTCACCAACTACATTAATACTAGATTTTTTTAACATTGCAGAAAAATTATTCTTAAAACAATACCACAGTATCCTTCCTTTACTTTCAGCAGTAATGTCTACATGTATATATGTCTTTATCTCATAAACATTTCACCCATGCTTCCATACACTTCTTTATTGATAGTCACTAGAAATTAAAGTTAGGTCAGACACCTGTGGCATCAATGGAACTTAGGTAGTTGTAGCACATTTTGAGTCGTGTTTTCACCGGTTGGGCGACTTTTTCTCCCCCTTGATCCTCCTCTCCCTCCTCAACACCCTTCATTGCCATAGAGCGCTGATCCTTCACACCCATATACCGCAAAAGACGTCTCAACTTCACCTTCAAAAATGTCAAATTAATTTCATAACAGAATTAATTTGAGAATAACAAGTTACAAAATTGCCATTTCACCCCCATCCAATCCCCTCCTAAAATAAAATAGACATGTTTCAGTTTCACAGTCAAGATCCTGATCATTTCGGATATCAGATAACTGCCGGGTCATTGTAACTGGAAATATATATGTTTTATTTTACCAATATTTAAAATTGTCTGTGGTCAAGGTCAATAAAATGTTGATGGTGCAACTGTTGGGGCGAGCACAGTTGTGTATTATATATTTACTGGACACCTATTCACTTTTAACTTAAGATCCATCTCTTCAAAACTTATGAGATATTTGGAAGGTCTAGACTATGATGTTAGTTGTATTTCCGATTCCCATAACAAAGTCTGAAAAGCGTAAATTCATAAACAAAGAATGTTTAATCAATACTAGTATCTATCTGCAATAACCAATGAAATGTGAGTTTCTTTCTTTTTTTGGTGAACTTTTGTTGTTACCGCAAGAAAGTAGTTTGCAGCGAGATGCAAATTGCAAAGAATTGTGGGTCCCGAGGTCTGCCATAAAAAATTTCATTTCAATCAAAGTGCACAGTCTGAATTTTTTCTTCACCCAGGCATTGCTGTAAGAGCTTGTCGTGCTCACTATTAACCTCATCAGCACAATGTTAGCATTTGAAACATCTCTAATGTACGTGCCTCTCAAACAAATTAAAAGGCAGTTCTACATGAAAAGTTGCATTTTCCATGTAAATGTCAAGGCAAAGGTAATATTTGAAACAATATCTCACCTTGATTTATCTACCACATGTTTGAGGCTTTAAGTTCAGAATGGGTCATCTTTAACACTGACAAACTTTTCATTTACCAACTTCAAGATCAGAGCTTGGTTAAGCCATTGACAAATGACAGTTTTTGAAAAATGCTATCTTAATTTAATTGCATTTGATATGAGATGATCAGAATAAAAAGTAGCAGTGGCATTATGATTAAATTACAGTTAGAATATCATGCTTTGGTCCCTCAAGAGGCTTCTAGATGCACTGATGGATGGGCAATTCAAAGACCAGATTTTGCTTCATAATCTAGCAAGAAATACAAGGTAAATTCTGTATTTCAATGGCATGTGGTTTGTTAATTGACCTCTTGGTGATATTCTAGTCTCTGATACATGTGAAACAGGGTTACCAAGAACTATATGGTCTACAATACTGAATGATTTGGTTACCAGTGTGTGGTATCAGTTAAACAAGCACTGATTCTTTCAGATTTTTAGCCTGCAAATTCTCAATTCAAAAGCTACCATTAGAAAATTTCTTTGCTCTCTTCACACATGTAATTTGCCAAAAAAATTTAAAAAGAAAAAAAAATCCAGGTCTTTCAATTAGTTTGTACTATATTCATCTTTTATACAATGACATGGTGGCAGAGGAGGAAAATTACTTTCGTAAGACGAAAATGACAGCATGTGTTGCAGGCAAATTACAGTTTTTCTTTTCCAACCACCACTGTGATATCAATATAATTAGAAATAAGCACCCACAAAATCATGAATAAATTCAATATCTTAATCTTTACAGATATTACATGACTTCTGGTGGGAGGAAAAAGAAAAAAAAGAAATGTGAATCATTCATTCAGGTGCTGCTATAAGAAATAATTATATCCTGAACAGTCCTCCGCAAACAGAAAAGAAACCTGAGATCGTGACTATGTAAATCATATTTCAATTTTCTGTATGGATGCAGAGTAACCTTAAAGAAGTCATTCCTGTTGAATTGATATGCAGAACTTAATGGTTTTAACTCTAATTAATTTATTTTACAGTTTGCCTCTACGTAACTTCAAAGAAATATCTCTTTGACATAATAACTAATGTATTATATAATTTTCACTGTACCATAAAACTTGTCTTATCCTGAAACTACTTCAGACTATTTAATTTCAGCTTATTACTTGAACTGCAATCCTAGAAATTAAAAATTAATGCTAAAATATTTAAATACAACAGCTGTATCTATCAGAAACAGAATCAATATGACTTCTGCTTGCAATTATAATCGACTAATTATTATGGTCAAAATTAATCCCCACGGAACCAGCAGAAGATAAGCATAAAACAGCATGTCACTTACATTCATTCAGAAGTATAAAAAGAAATTAATTTTAACAAATAGCATTTATGCTGTAGCAGAAAGTAGATCATTATACTGCAACACACCTGTATTATTCAATTTGTAAAAATAAGCTTCTTTTTCAAAACTTTTTCTCAAAACCTGGAATTCCCAGTGGCTTATAATCTAACATGTCTGGTTAATCCTTTTTGAAAAATGAGTATTGATTTTATGTAATAGCTAGCACACATAAAGGCAGGAAGGTCATTGTCTTATTTAATTTCAGATTGTCCTCATTTTTTAATTTAAGTTTCATAGATTTTTTTCATATTATGCTGCTAAATACAGAGCACAAGGTAGCATATGTTTGAAATTTTTCAGTTTTCATTCACTTACATCAGATACATCTTGTCAATAAAATTCTTAGAAAGGCTGAGTAAGCATCCCTTTTTAAAGTACAAGAAGCTCAAGTTTGATTAAAATATTGAACAAGTTCAGTTGGAGAATTTGAATTTTCTTCTTCAAATTATCACCCTCTGGAGGCCTTAGCAACCCAGAATGAGTACAGTTTTTTTAATTACAATTCAAAGTATCACAGTATTTCATTGTGTTTCGATTTTATGTCAACCTATGGGACAAATTTTCCTCTCGCCATGCTTTAATTATCATATATTTACATCCATTGAATATTATTTCCTTTATTTCTTAAGTAACCCATTGCCGTTTATCACTGAGTAAACAACACTAAGCAAGCCACCTGCATAGATTTCTTCAGCAAAGGCTGTTCCATCAATTATACATACAATGACATACACTTCTATAATACAATATTTAACATGTTTAATAATACTTTGATTGTTTTTTTTATACAGATATAAATATAAACAATAAAATGACTTCCTTTGTTTGTTAGTACGGGAATTAATGTCGCAGCTATTGCAGAAAAAAATTTACATAACCCGCTTACGCGGGTTATGTTTTTTTTCTGCAACAGCTGCGACATTAATTCTCGTACTAACAACCAAAGAAAGCATTTTATTGTTTAAATTTTAAACACTCTTATAATATAGTGCATATTTTTCAAATTTTCGATTGCATTTAAAATTGCACACCCCAAAATGCATAATTATACAAAACTCATCCTAAAAGTAATTACATATCCTCACCCCAAAGTGCATCAACAGAACTTGAGAGTATGTCTGATTTGATATGAACTTAGTACACTGACTTTTACTGTAAATTCCTTATTTCATGTGTCACTGAGTACTTAATACTGCAAAATGATATTTGTCTACAGACATCTAGAATTGCTATAGCATGAATTCTGATTGGCCTTGTTATCAAAAATTTTAACATGTACTCCAATGAAAGCAAGTAATTTTATTTCATCAGTGCAAAAGTATGTGATGATAAGTTCATTGAATATATTTAGGAATCTCCATATTGTGGTACAAGTAATTGTAAAACTTAAATTGCAGAAAAAGTTTCTCAAATTATAAAAAAATCTGTGACTTAATGAATATTTTTGTAAATTCACTCTACATTGAAAGAATAATTTTAAAAAACAACTAGACCTTTTTTGTCGTTCAACAAAAACGGAGGGCTTTTCGACGCTTAAAATCATAAGGACCTTAAAGAGCGATAACTCTAACAAAATGAAAAAAATAAAAAGAATTATCAAATCGGATCAAGTCTTCAGGAGCTTTTAAAAATGGAAACCTAAAGAGTATGTAATTCTCACTAGAGCTCTGCAGAGGGAGGTAACTCTTACAATGTTATTTTGAAAATTACTAAAAGTTACTATATTTCAGGTCTCTAAAACACCTATAAGGGGTCGAAAAGTGACCCCATGGACCATAATTTTCAAATTGTACCCTTTATGCTGAACTCAGAACCGAAAACTGTTCAAAAATTTATTGAGAAATAAAAATGTTACATGGGAAAATCTGTTTTCAATATAAGCCCCTTGAAATCCCTTATTTTTCAGAATTTTATATTCAGGCCCTATAGGGGTTGAAATAATATCAAAGTCATTATATCACTCAATTTTCACAAGAATATCTTATTTAGTTGAAGAGATATCGTGACATGTGCATTTTTCCATTTAACATGGGAACTCCCATAGACAAATTTAGAGATTCATAAAACCGAAAGTGCTTGTCATATGCATACCAAACTTGAAACCTAAAGAGTATGTAAGCCTGCCAATAGATGTGCAAAGGGAGATAACTCTTACTCCATTATTTTTGAAATAAATAAAAATTACATTATTTCAGTCCTCTGTAACTCCTATAAGGGTTCAGAAAGTGACCCCACGGACCATAATTTTTAAATTGTACTCTTTAATCCTAATTCAAAACCGAAATCAGTTTGAAGATTTGTTAAAAAATAAAAAAGTTACAGGGAAAAAAGTGTTTTTTGTTTTGGCCCCTAAAAATCCCTAATTTTTTTAAATTTTCTTCTCATCACCTAATCACTTGAAGACAATGTTAAAAGAAGTGTTCTTCTCAAATATTACAAGAATTGCTTGCTTCCTTTCTGAAATAATGGAACATGCGTGATTCCAATTTAACATAGAAACTTCCATAGACATTTTTAGGAGACTAATAAAACCGGAAGTACTTTTCAGATTCTTACTAAAATGGAATCCTAAAGAGTATGTAGGGCATTTAACAGTTGTACAAAAGGAGATAACTCTTACTTGATTATTTCTGAAATTGCTAATTTTTACTATTTTTCAATTCTCTAAAACTCCTATAAGGGGTCAGAAAGTGACCCCACGGACCATAATTTTTAAATGGAACTCTTCATGCTAAATTCAAAACCGAAATCAGTTTGAAGATTGGTTAACAAATGAAAAAGTTACAGGGAAAAAAGTGTTTTTTTGTACTGGCCCCTAAAAATCCCTAATTTTTTGATATTCTCTTTTCATCACCTAATCAACTAAAGACAATGTAATATATAAATAGTGCACGTTTTTGAGGTTAACAGTTGAAATTGACACCCCAAGGAAAACCATTGTCAACCGACGCGTCAGCGGGGGTTGACAATGGTTTTCCGAGGGGTGTCAATTTCAACTGTTACCCTCAAAAACGTGCACTATTTATTTTATTATACTGAATGTCTTATTGATTTCGGGTGTCATAAAAAAAATTCCGAGATCGTCGTTAAGTTCACGCTTGGAAAGCTTACAAACTCCCCGCTTCTATTTTTCTCAATAAGAAAGCTTCGGAAAAGATTAACCAACCTCTTTATTGTTTGTTTGCTACTCAAAAAGTCCTTTGTCATCTAAAGTTTGCACTCGCAAGGATGTTTCGTCTGTCGTTTGTTGTTTTCAAGTAAGCTACATCGGACGCAAGCTTTTATTGACGTCGCTTATTCTGCTTCTTTCAAACGCACAACCGACGTTTTGAGAATTCTACGGTGAACCGTACGCGCATGATTTGAACGCATGTGATATTTTCGTAATGTTACCCGTTGCCAAGTGTGTTGCTAACGCTGAGGGTAATATTACGGATTGTCAAATGCGTCTAAACCAATCAGATTTTAGTATTTAACATGAAAGTATAATAAAAATAAATATTTCACTTAAATATTACAAGAATTGCTTGCTTCCTTTTTGAGATAATGGAACATGCGTGATTTCAATTTAACATAGAAACTTCCATAGACAATGTTTGGAGACTCATAAAACCGGAAGTTACGCTTGGATTGACTTGAAACTTACAGCACATGTTTTATCATTCAATTGTAACAATTTGTAATCTTCAAAATATTTTTCCTACATAGTTTTTCAATTTTTAAATTTCCATCCCCCCTTTTCCTAACTTTGGAGTCTTATAACACAAAAATGTGTTATAGGTACAATATCGCTGTCGCTAACTTTTTTGTAGGATTTACTTTGAAGAATCTATTCCTAAAATTTGAATGAATTTCCATGAAAAATAAGATTTTTTTTAAGCTCCTAAAGAAATCTTAGTTTTCTACTTGTAAATACCGGAAGTGACGTTTCCGGAAGTACAAAACCTTACATACGGGAGACATTTAGATATGCTATCTGACGGTTTTATCATAAAATACATATAACCAAAGGTTTTCTTTAAATCCGAAACGTAAAAGTGTTAGGTATAATAATAATAATAATAATAATAAAACAAGACGAAAACAATAGGGCTTTTCGCCAAAAGTCGAAAAGCCCTAATTAATAAATACAGACATGGATATTTAACAGTTTACGAGGGTTGGTCCAAAAGTTTGCGGAATTTCTTTCTAAAATTTTATTGTGACATGATTAAAGCAAACAGAAGACATATCTATAAAATTGAGTCATTATGCAACAATACTGAAAAATTTCACCATGTTCCAATTACCATTAAGGTCACACGACTTGGACTTGGACAGCTGTAAAATCCGGGGGAGACTTTGATGCAACGTCAAGTAAGGTATGTTAATATAAAGCAGGTTAAAGTTTTTGGAACAGAATCATTCCAGTGTGGCTTCAAGCCCTACCTAGACCAAACTTGTATGAATGATGCATCAATTGATAAACTCTTTCAAACTTGCTATAGATGCTGGATTTGACTTGCATTAAATTTTCTTGATGAGTGACTAGTTTAAAGTTAGAACAAGTCCATTCCTAAGTTACAGAAAGTCTTATCAGACCAAAATTGCATAAATGTTGCATCTAGTGAGGCACACTTCTATAGTATTAGTTTAGTGTGGGATTTTCCCTTACTTATAGAGTTAACATTTGTCAAGGTGAGCTCTGTAATCTATAACCAGTACAGCCTAACTGCGAGAGGTGTTTTCAATTCAGCAGTTTTCAGTAAATGTGAATAATTTCTATTATTATGTAGTCTAAAAAATAGTCCCTATATAATCTATACAAATGCAAACAGTTCATAATACTACATATTCACTGGATTTGAAGCCGTATTCACCGGAGGGTCAGTGCGCGTGCAGCGGCATTGTGACGTCACAATCAATACCTAAAACAACGTTGAAAACAATGGTTGCAATGGCCAGAGCCAGCTGTATATGCTGTATATCTGAGCAGGAAAACTTTAAGGCAAATTTCTCGTAGGATTATTTTCCAAACATTTCAATGTCTTACACACAGCAAAAAGGAAAACACGGAAGTTATAAGTTATAATCTGGACATTTTTAAAAAATTTTCTACGACAGAAGTTCGTTAATGAAAATGGAGTCGTCATGCAGCCTTCAATGTCTTATTCATTCAAATCCTGACTATATAATAAAACATTTATGGACTCTTTCGGTGGTGAATATGGTTTGTTATTCACCAGAAAAATATCAATATTGACCTCGGCTTCACCTCGGTCAATATTGATATTTTTCTGGTGAATAACAAACCATATTCACCATCGAAAGAGTCCATAATTGTATATTATTTATTTGAGTTTTTGTCAGTATTCTCATGTTACCAATACCTTGATTTTGCTATATGTATATATGTGTAATAACCTCTAGGTATAAATGGTTTTTGATAGTACTTTTCTGTCTTGCCAATTAAGACAGAAGAAAAGTTATTCACAAAATTGTTGGTTAAGAGTAGGTTGTAACTATCTACATGACTCTTTTAATACAACTTTTGGAAAAAAAAATTACAGAGTATATTATGCTCACATCTAATGTTATTCCATAAGTCTTACCCATGTTTTCTAAATTCATTAACTTGAAATATGGATTTTTTTTTTTAGATAAATTCCCTGTGATGATTTGGATTTTTTTTTTAATTAGATGAATTCCCTGTGATGATTTGGATCTGGTGTTTGATGCTTACTTTATCTTTCCGAAGAAGAAAAAGAATGTCTTCAAGTCCAATAAAACGCCCATTTCTTGATGAGGCCACATCTGCTGCTTGAAGAAGCTGCAATTAAAATTATATATATATATATATATATATATATATATATATATATATATATATATATATATATATATATATATATATATAGTAACACTACAATTAGTACTACCATAATCTCCGCCCAAATTTTTTTTGGGCCTCTATATTAAATTAACTATAATTTTTTGTAGCATGACATTACTTTAAAAAAAAGAGATTTAATGGCCAGGGGCATAATGATAAACAATTCCTGTATTCATGGAGATTATTCCAAAAATTCAGTGCATGTATTTGATATAACTATTCACAACAGGAGGCAGCAAAGCAAGGCATGTTGCAACGATCATGACTAAATACAGATCTTAATACAGATCACCTGAAGGATGTACTTAAATGGTGATCACTAACTGAAACATTAGTATTAACCTTTAAGGTACAAATTAAAGTTTTTCCATATGAAATCATGAAATTTTCTTGAAAGATGTGAAGATTCTGCAGGGCTCAAATTTCTTCTTTTCATATACATTTTTGTGTTCTTTAATTTATACTTTGAGTGTTATTTATATCTATGTTGTCTCAAAGACACTTATGAATTACCTCTGTAACTTCATTTACTGCTCAAAGGATACTTTAATTATTGTTAAAAGAATTTAAATCATAATGATTATACTCTTTATCATCAAAGTATTTCAGTAATAAATTATAAATGTGCGATCTTGACAATTAGACCCAAACTCACAACATAGTAAGAGGACTTATGGCCACAAAGCTCACCTGAGTCACCTCAGTGCTGCTATTCCTTAAAAAAAAAGATTTTTTTAAAGAATCCTGCCCCCAATATATTCCCTTGTAAAATTTTGATCCTATAGTGGCCTTTTGCGATTACAAATTGAGTTTTTATATGGATTAAATCAAAAGAGTAAATCTGACTTAAATTAACAGAACACAAAAAATGAATATTAATTATTCTACAATTGGCAGGATACTAACTTTTTACATAGTGAGAGCTGCAATCAGAAGCAGCATTGGCCATCTTTAAAACCATCTATCAAAGGTTGATGATGGTTTACCATGTATAAATTTCCTTATGAGTGTTAGATCCTCCTTCTCTGCAATGCTACACTTGATAAACTAGTGTCTGAAGGGGGAAACTCAATTCTACTTCTACTTAGGGCTGTTGTGGCTCCCAAAAATAACCACAAACTGTGGTCCAAAAAACTCAAGCTCATGGATGTTTACTTTTGTGCAAAGAATTATGAAACACAAAAGCTCAATCCTGATTAATAATTGCTGAAAAATGAATTTCCATTGGCATTTCAACTGAATAAACTTGAGGTACTGTGAGTAGTGAGCTCACAAAATGATACCCCCCTCCCATATGAGTATAACGGAAATGTCCATTTGCTGTAAAAAATCTCAAATATCTGTCCAATCCAAAAACAAAGTAGGAGGTGCACAACTGCACTATGGAATAAAGATTCTGTGAAAGTATCATTTTTAAGCGCTAAGCGCAGCGCAAAGCGCTTTCTGTCATCTTAAATCTACTTCCGTTCACGATCCAGCGCCACTAACCAAGTTAGATAACTCCACTGGGTTTTCTAAAAATATGCAACTGGAAATCCCCGACTCTCTTTCGGCTATTTTAGTGTAATACTGAATTACGTGCAGTTCTAATTATAGGAGTCAATTAGTAAGGTAAAGATATGCATGTACATTGTATGAAAATTCACTGTTAGTAGATAAGGGCGGCTCTTGTCATGCTTATCTCTAAACATTGTAGTTCATTTAAAATCGTGTCGGCATTCATCACTTGTGTACCATGTAGCTAGCAATTGCTGCATCTATGGCGCAAATACTCTAGTTAATTAAAAACGGTTTATTATATGTCATATATATGTAATGTAGTGATTGAAAAAGTGCATATTTTTAAAACTCAGATGGGATTTTAATAAGTATTTAAAACTCAAACTGGAATTGAGTTATTTAGTAGAAAATTTCGCATAAAATTGATTTACAAAGTACTTACATATGCACGTTCTATATAACTTATATCCATATAAACTATTATAATTTCTTCTTCTTGACCCTTATTTCAGGCAATGTAACTAAAAACAAGTCTTCCTATTATCACCCTTGCACCATGCAGAGAGCTATCAATGAAATGGATTTTCGCATCTCAGTATCAATTAGTAACAGACTGGAATGCATTCATGGACTGTCTATACTTGTGTTGTACTCTATACTTGTAATATGGGTAAAAAAATATGATGTAAATAATTCGCAAGGAAAGGCAGTTTGCGGCTGTACGTACATGTGGGGCACGTGGTGGCTGTGTTTTCAACGAATCACTCAAATAGGAAAACTAATTTTTTTGGTATATTGTGCTTTAAAATTGTGTGTGCAGTGTGCAAGATATTGCGAAAAATGCAAAAACCTTAATTAAACGTTCTTAGCAATGGACAGGAAAGCGCCGATGAAATGTTAAGCAAACAGTGTAATACTTGTATTAGGAAACTTGGAAGAAAAGTTTATGTAAAGATGTGCGCGTGTTTGCCGTTTTTGACTGCTAAGCAACTTAGTAAGGACTACATAAAAACAGAATGAAACAATGTTGCATACCTTCATGAAGATTTATTAATACTTGAGATTAATATGCTGTATTTTCTTTCTTGGGTTGTTGAATTATTTATCATGGAAGTAGCAGAAAAATTACTGGCAGTTATTTTCAGTATTCCTTTTCAACTAACACAACAGTGCTGTGGATATTTTTTTCCTCTAAACACGTTTTGTGTGGTAGTTAAAATCATACATAATCAAGTAAAGAATGGTGTAAAGCATCAAACGTCCGTAAAAAAAATACTGAGGCTTTTTAAAGTATTTCAACAATAGTCCAAAATACTTTGGGGGGTTTAAAGACATATTTTTAATCCGAAGGAGAAAAGTATAAAATTTTAATTTTAAAAAAGTAATATTTACAAATCAGATATACATATTGTGAAAATAACAGTAAAGACAAATATTTGTTGAAAATACATTATAAATCATGTATATGATTATAAGAGATAAAAGGATAGCACCGAATGTTTTATCATCAAACGAAGAAGACAAATATAATATCTTCATACTCAAAATGTATATTTACCAATTATCTCTGACAAAAGGACGTTAACTCTACGGGTGCTCATTTCGTTGACACAGAGTTTTGTCAAATGACGTTGTTACAAACATGCCGATATGCTGCCTAGCGCGATGAATGTATAATACACAGCGGTAGCATATTCAAAACAAAATGTAATATATACATGTAGTCTAAGTTTTATTTATCATTAATAAATTCTGGACACTCGTAGCAATTGTGTAAATATCTTACACACTCCATTAATGTTTTTCTTGTAAAATCCTTTCTATAAAACAAAAATTTTGAATTGCTTATGAATATGAAAAAAAGAGATATACTTAAAGAATTTAGTGAGAATACTAGTATTCGATATTTTTGAGATGTTTTATTTATATGTTATCAATTAGGAAATATTTATCGACGCAATAAACAAATAGCATCTTTGTTTTCCGAGTGCAGTTTCTAAAATTAAAGCACAGTCACTATCCTTCAATTTGAAACATTCGTAAACACGGAATAAATTTATTATTAAAAATTATCACCAGAAGATTTTAGCTGTCGGTGTTGCACATAAATGAGAGGAATTTCAGCGACATTTTCAAGTGTTCAAAATTATTTAGAAATTCATGTTTTCCAGCAAATATATAGCTAGATTTATAGTCTAAATTTGGTCGGAAACTCGTTGACCATCCCCCTCCAATAAATTGCTATATATTTTCATTAAGTTTGAGAAATACATTGCTGTTTGGATAGGAGTAAATATCTGCCATTTAATTTGTATATATTGTTTTTTTTAAGAAACGGAGAAATATTTTCTTGCAATTTCATATACATGTATGTGAAATTGATTGACCTTTTGACAGAAGAAGAAAATGTAAAATGCTTAAAATAAAAAGGCATAAGACAATGTTGAATTTCGTATCCCAACGGGAAGTTTTCATGACTCACATGTTTAATTATGTATAAAACAACTGTGCTCACCCTAGCGCAGCCGCACTGTCAAGATATTGCTTAAATGCCAATACAACAGGCAATTTAAATTCAAAGTAATTCTGATCAATTTCAAATTGCAACATGTTTAGCGCTTCCCAGTACTTTCAGTACTTGGATTCTATTTAGTGGTATAGGAGGAGTTGTGGATAAGAAATGGGTTCCCCTGATAATATAAAAAGAAAAGTAGTGCCCATGTTTTGCTATGGGAAAAGAGAAACATATGTTCAATCAGATGCACGATGGCATTATTTAATATCTCATTAAATTTTATTCAGTTGTATAGGAGGAGTTGCAGATAAGAGATGGGTACCCCAAAGCGTAACAGATGGATGGAAGGGTGGATGTACAGACAGCTGGACAGACACCCCCATCACTATACCACCCCCGCTTTTCAAGCGGGGAGTATAAAAATGTTGTATAATACAGTTAAGGTTGGTTTACATTATGACTTACTACAGATGTTAGCTGCTGTTTGACAATGTCCTCAATCAAAACTGCTGAATCATGCTGAGGCTTTGGAACATCTCCAAATCCATACCTGATAAAATAATTTTCATAATCAAAAGCAATGTATACCAAACTTTCCTTAGACAAAAATATTATAAGAAAAGCATACTCCTGATTTAGGATAACTATAAGGCACTCACATCGCCTCCATCTCCGGCAAACTGTGGAATGTACGTGTACATGTACAAATTAGACATCCTTTTTTTTCAGGATTGCACAGTTTAACCTATAATAGTGCTAAATTCACAGAATGAAAAAAAAGTTCTTCATCAGCATTTTCCATTGGATGCCCCTGCAAATCTGATTATTTTTCTTGTCCAGGAGGCCCAGTTTTCCTATTATATAGAAACAGTTCACAATTTTTAAGATAATTAGCTTACTGCTTAGAAGTAAATTTTCACCAAAGTCCATTCTTAACTTTTTGAAATATCTTTATTATAGAGAGATGGAAGCTTACAGTAACAGGCAGACATGCACAAGAGAAAAAGTCTCCATACATCTTTGTTAGCTAACAACAATCTGCTAAATACTGAAAATCGCTAATTTTCGTGGGGTTTAAACTTCATTGTTTTCGTGGCAGGAAGAGACCCATGAATTTATGTCCTCCACAAAATGTAAATTTTTGAATGTATAACGTATAACACAGTATTTCTTCAACCATAAATTAAATCAAATCCACTTAAACCAAAAATTTTACCTCAAACCACGAAAATTTGACCCTACGGAAATATATGAATTTACAGTAAACATGCATGCCCTGCATTGACAGTGCATGTGAGTGCTATTCTTAATTATTTTCCCCACTTCTTTTGAGGCAATATTACTATGCTGGGTCAGTAGAAAATATTTGCCTTGGGCATGAGCAGGATATTTAAAGTTCAATTTTTGCTAAGACAGACCAGGTACTACAAACCAATTATTGAATGTCAATTCCTCCAGCAGATGTTTATTAATGAAATATGAAGATAACGAACAGTATTCAATCTCGAAAGTCCAATGAAACGATACAAATTTGGAGCAGAGCAAATACGGACCTCAAAATTTAGAGGTGGGATCAGGTGCCATGGAGGAGTGAGCATCCCCTGCCGACTAGTCTCACCCACCATGTGCTCGTCATGATCAGGAAAAAAACCTAGAAAAATCCGTACAGTTCAGTGTATAAATAATGGCCTAACAATTAGTATGAAAAATGTCAGTCAGCATTTGACTCAATGATGGGTTGTATGTGCTGACAAGGTCATTGTATTAACCATAAAACTTGCGAAAAGATGACTTCAAACAATTGTTGATATCCTTGATTCATCAACTTGTTTGTCAACATATGAGGAGAAAAGTCAAAAGTTTATTTGGTGAGATCCAAGACCTGGTGATCTGTGTCATGATAGCTAGATGCTGGCATGATAACAGCACTTGTATCTGACTCAGGCATCACAGATGGGTCTATGTAAACAGGGCATTACATGCCAGCTTTTGAGAATTTACATCAGGAACATTGCAAATAGTGACATTTTGTTGTGATTGTAATAAATAAAATACAGGAATGGATGTTAATGCATGCCACACAATAATAAATGAGATTCACAAAAAATTCCACCTCAATTTTTTGCCTGGAGATTTTTCAAAAATAGATGTATTAATTTCAAGAAAATATATATGACATAAATAGGGCATTTTTATTTTCTCGGAAAATTTGTTTTAAATGTCACTATAACCTTACAAATTAAATATTTGTTGCTTTGGTGCATAAAGATTAAAACTTGATACACAAGAACTAGCTTTCATTCTGTTTGATTATTTACAATACACACAGGGGCTTGGTTATATAATTGTCTACCAACTAACTAAGGTTTTTTTTTTAAAGCTTCCTGAACAGAGAGACCTTCTTCTTAAACCTGATAGAGTTTTTTCTTGATTATGTATGAGTTATAAGTTATAACCCTAAACAAAGACAAATAAGAAACAAAAAAATAACTTTTAGGAATTAAATTTATTTAGTTGTTTTTTTTTACCTTTTTTAAAAGTTTTTTTTTTTTTTTGCATATAAGAAAATTATAATTTCAACCCTAGTGATCTTATATTTATATAATGATGTTGCCAATCTCAAAAATCATATCCTCAATCCACTCCGTTTTTATTGGTGGGACTCTTTTGTCAAACCAGTGCACACCAAATGCATGGATTGACCCTTCAGTTGGCAACCTGCATTTTCACTTAAGGATGGCGTTTACTCACATGACAAAAAAATCCACTGATAAGAATGAAAAACCACCATTTTAATTGTACATTGTAGACCTATGATGGTAGTGTTATTATTCACTTTTAAATAATTAGGTCAATGACCTACTTTTCATGCTAGTGGCCTAGAGTATTTCTCGTAAAATACCTCATTTTTCACACTCTGTCCAATATTTTCTTTACCCACAAAATATGAAAAGCAACCAAACTCTTTTAATAACAAAATATAATAGGAATGGAACATCTTTGCTAAATGTAAATAAGCAATTAGAGTTTGAGCCATTAACTAATGTTAATTATTACATTCCAAATTTCCTCTGTTAGTTTTCTAATTTTTACCAATTTTTTATCCAATATTTCAAAAATCTGAATAAGAACTCTAAATTATTTATAGCCCCAGTTTACTTTTGTTGCCCTAATTCTGTTGGTATAAAAATTATATGAGGTCAATAATCAAATTTTTGAGATATGTTGTCTGGAATGGTTTTTGTTCATATTTTTGAAATTCTTCATTGCATGTCATTTAATTCTTTTAAATACATGAACTTTAACACTCATAATATTTGCAAATTTATGTTTAAAAACACATAAAATCTTTACTTTGTGAATGATATTGCAAGAAAAAAAAATTCAGATAAATATGAAAAATTTAAAATTTAGTCAGAATTTCCTCTGCATCACCATATAATTTATTTTTGTTCTTGCATATTTTCTATAAATAATAAAATATTAAATTTTTAAATTGATATTGAGTTATAACTTGATTATTTTGCTCATTTAGAACATTTTTTATTTAACATATTGTACTTTATAGCATTCCGTTTCTCTCATCCAAAACCCTGAGTAAACGGCATCCTAATAATTCATTTGACCGGGACACTGAGGTTCTTTATGTATGCCGATCTCACCAATATGGAACGACAGGTGGCGGAATTGTTGGAAAACTATAACAAGTTGTAGAAATGCTGATATTTGTTACAAATCAGCACATTCTTCATTGTTTGCATTAATTAAACAAATCATTATTTATAAATTTATGTTAATTATGTTTAAAAAAAATTATTGTGAAGTCAATGGGAATTTTTTTTTTTTTTTTTTTTTTTGGTAATTCATTAAATTTTGAACAGTTACCATGGTTACTGTTCAACTTTTTCCCACAAGAAGTATTATAATGCAAAAAGTGATAGATCTCCAAAACTTAATCATGCATTATTGAGATTAATTAATTTTTGTTTTTCGATGTTTAACTTTCACATCGCTTCATTTGCCAATTAGCGAATTTGCAAATTTAGTGTCATAAAGTCTGTAACTAATATGTTAATAATTCAAAAGTAGTTGGAAAGGCTAAAGTTTGTGACAGAAACAAAAAAAATACAGAACAAATTAAGGTCAATACCCCCCCCCCCCCCCAACACACACACACTTTTTAAACTAACCAATCTTTGGCCATAAAAAGAAACACAAATTTATTCCCTGAAAAAAAAAAAATGTTACTAGGATATTTAAGGAGTTTAGTGGGTTAATATGTCTCTTATAGGATCAATGACCTGTATATTAAAGACCAGTAGATAAGCCACGCAATAGCTTATAGCTAAGTCATAAAGGAAGATCAGAAAAATTACAGACTAATTTCAAAGCAATTTAAATTTCATAAAAACAGAATTTCCAATCAAAGTTAATTCAGTCACTGAGTGAGCATAATTATTTCCTGTAACCTTTCTGTACTACTCATCTTTAAAAGATATCCCCATAAGCACTCCTTAATCATTTAGCACACTAATAGTTCAGAAAACTGATACAAATGAGTATCAAATGGGGCCCACTTGCCCTACAGGAATTACTTATGAAATTACTAGTGGGTTACTACGTTTTAAAAAGAATTGATATCTCTCACAGCTAGGTTAAGGACTCCCATAGTTACATCAGCCTATTATGACATCAAGTTAAAACAATACTGTAACAAATGAATCTCAATGCAAACAAACACTAATGTTAATTTTCATACACACTAAAATACTTTGTTTCTTATAAGTATTATAGAGATAAATCTATGTGCAACTTGTCTTACCATAATAACACTATCCCAAAGTAGAATGAAAGCCAGCTTGATATTGCTGTACCATTAGATGACATCACTGACTAGTTTGACATGCAGTCTCTCTTGAAATAAGATGAACTTAACTCTGCTATATCTGTAAATTCACTATAATATTCGTGTTCGTACTATACAAGTTTTACTGTACCTTTTAGTATTAGTTAAATTTGTAGAATCATAGTGGATGGGCCCATGATCAAGGTTAGTTTTACACATGGAAATATAAAATTTTTCACCAGACAATAATTAAGGCTTATACAGACCCTAAAACATGCTACTTCACCACTTGCACAGTACAGTTCATTTCGTTTCTTGCACGGTATGTTTCATTTGTGAATGGTACATTTTGTTTTGTGCATGTTTCCTTTTGTGAATGGAACAGTTCGCTTCTTGCATGGAAGTTTTGGTGAACGATATGCAAATTAAGCCTGTACACTTTAGAACTGTAAAAGTGGTTATTTACACTGGTTGTTAAGTACGCGTTTGTGACTGTCAAAAATTACACGTGGGTGTAATTCATGCGGTCGCACAAGTTACCGAAAAAAATTTACGCCACCAAAATGACTTGAAACTCATCAATGAGTGTTCAGGAATCATCCCTGAAAATTTTGATGAAAAATACTCATTTTTGGACAACTTCCGGTTTTGAAGAATCAACTTCCAGTGGAAATGATATGATTTGAATTACTTTATTTGGCACT